TTGGATTTGCTGTGCAGGATGTCACAAAATCTATGTGATTAAATATTTTCACATTTTCATTTCATCTTTGTATCTGACTGCTGCTGGCAATTAAAAATGACTCAACTTTATGCCATCTGTGTTTATGTGCCACACTGTTGAAGTACAGAATGACAAGTTTTATTTTTGATCACTGAGTGTGAATGTTCTCACTGTCCAGTGCATACCATTGTTTGTGGAAGCTGCCTTGGAGAGACTGACCAGAGAAGTGAAAACCAGTGAGCTGCGAACCATGTGCCTCCAGGTTGCCATAGCTGCTTTGTATTACAATCCTCATTTACTATTAAACACATTGGAAAATCTTCGTTTCCCCAATAATGTGGAGCCTGTCACCAATCACTTCATAACTCAGTGGCTTAATGATGTGGACTGTTTCCTGGGGTAAGTGTTTGTACTGGAGATGATTCTCTGTGATAAACCTGTGTATGACCTGCATGTAAATCATGACAAAACTTGAAACTGTTCTACTCTTCTCTTTTGTAGACTTCATGACAGAAAGATGTGTGTGCTTGGCCTGTGTGCTCTTATTGATCTGGAGCAAATACCACAGGTTTTAAATCAAGTTGCTGGGCAGATTCTGCCAGCTTTTATCCTTTTATTTAATGGATTGAAAAGAGCATATGCCTGTCATGCAGAGCATGAAAATGACAGTGATGATGATGATGAAGCTGAAGAAGATGAGGAAACAGGTATGGAGATGGAACCTTTGATGTTATTTTTGTATGTTTTGTTTATTCTGATAGAGATACTGAGTTCCTTTGTGGAATTCTTCTGAGTATCCTAATTTAAAAATGAAGCACTGCAGTAGAATACTGGACATCTTTTGACAACTTTTAAATATATCTGACTTAATTTCCACTTCCTCTTAAAAACTGACTTCCAGGGCTGAGTTAAATGAGCTCCCCCCTTTCCAGCCTGCATGGCATTGTTACCACTTCCACTGCTTGTTTTATCTAATTAGCCACATTCTAAAGAACTGTTCTTGCTCTTCTCAAGATAAACCTTTGTTTGCTTATAATTAACTCAGAGGAGCTGGGGAGTGATGAAGATGACATTGATGAAGATGGTCAAGAGTATCTAGAAATTCTAGCAAAACAGGCAGGTGAAGATGGAGATGATGAAGACTGGGAAGAAGATGATGCTGAAGAGACTGCTTTGGAAGGTTATTCCACGATTATTGATGATGAAGATAACCCTATTGATGAATATCAGATATTTAAAACAATTTTTCAGAGTAAGTAACTGTATTTCTTTTCCGGGACAACAAGTTAGGTTTCAGCTTCAGTATACACTTTTGTTAACTGGAACCTGTTCAAAACTTCCAAACAGGCTTTCCAATACGTGCTTGAACCATTTCTTTCTTTGGAAAGGAGATGCCATCATTAAACTTTCAGAGCAGAGGGAGTTGCTTCAATAAATTTATAGCGGTAGGGAAGAGGTCAGAAGCTGTACTCGTGTTTAAATGTCTTGAATTATGTAACCATAGCAGAATATTACTCTGATTAAAATGGCAGTGAGTGAGTAAAGTTTGAGTTCTAGAACATTTTAATCAATCCTTTCCTTTTGCTTATGTTCTCTTGCTGCTGCAGCAATTCAGAACCGTAACCCTGCGTGGTACCAGGCTTTGACACAGGGCCTTACTGAGGAGCAAAGGAAGCAGCTGCAGGACATAGCGACCCTGGCGGATCAGCGGCGGGCAGCACACGGTATTTGCACCCTTTACACCAGTAATGCCTCCTTTGCTCTCTGAATGCCCTGGGTGTGCTCAAGAAGCATGATACAGAAAAGGCGTTTAATTCAAGCCTGATCATGTCTCCACCAAAACAGGATTGTTTGAAATCTCTTGGAATTGTCAGGTCACAAAGCCTCCGTGCACAAATTGGGTGGCAATACCACAGGTGGGAGGAATGGTAGAAACGCTTGGGGAGGTAGCCAAGGAAATAAAAGCATATTTGTCCTAATTGCTTGGATTTGAAAACAATTTATTTGATAACCTGAAGGTAGATGAACTCCAGGTATGTTAACAAACACTTCAAGTGGCTGATTAATAATCTCCTAGATGTCTAGCTGGGATAGACAAGGATTCTGTGGGTAGGAGAATACTAAATTATGGAAGTAGTACCATCTGTAAAGCCACATCATTAAGCCTATCAAATATTACATATAATACAGATTTTTTAAACCTGTGTTCAGTTTATCTTTTTTCTTGGTTTTCCCTTTTGAAATTAAGCCAGTATATATAACACTGTAAAGTCAAGACTGGATGTTGAGGGATCAGTCCAACCTCATATCCTGTCTTAGTGAGCAATTACTACAGATGTTTCAAAACAGAAATTCATAGATTTTTCAATAAAAAGATTGGTAGTAAGAATACACATTTAGTAAGTGCTTTTTATGAGAGAACAGCCTAAATCACCTCACAAACCTTGTTTGTGTCCAAAATTATCCAGTTTTAATGGTTATAAAACAGAGTTTCACTGTGACCCCTGTCAATCAGTAGACATTATTTGATGTAACTTTATACTACTGCATTTTATAGAGACAAAAAAGTTTGAGGTGTATGTTTGTTAAGTTTTTTCTACTGGTTTTTCTCAGAGAAGTTGTAAAGTTTAACTTAAACAACTAGATCCCTATGGGAAATTCTTGCCTACTATCACAGCACTCTGATACTACATTTAGGCCACTTACCACACATGGGGAGATCCTGTTAGAAGGATTTGAAATACAGTTCTTCCTTATAAATGTATTTTAGAAGAAATTTCCACATGCTGAGAGATTTGTCTTCTGTGGAGCTGTGAGGGATCCTTTCCCCATGCTCCATTAGCCATGGCAACGTCTTTGTGGCCTGTTTCCAAAGAAACAGAGCCAAAATGCAGATTTGCCAGATAATATGAGCTGACCTGTATTCCCAGAGAGATTGCAACTGTTTTTATTTAGGAGAAAGCTCTAAGACAAATAAAATACATTAATAAGTGTTGTTATCTTGGCCTGGGAATAATACAAGCCATCTTCTGCATAATCTAGATTGTAGTAAAGGTACAACCTAAATTACCAACCTGATTTTCAGTTATCCATGTATTACAATTATAAAAACTGGTTTACAGTAATACCTGTCCTACAGCAGTGTTTGAAGGATGGTAAAACCAGACACCTTAACAATCACTGGTAGTTACAGTGATGGATATGTGCACCTCAGGTGTCTACAGATCTTAAGGCTTGGTTGAAAATGAAAAGTGATCAACCTGGTAGTTTCAGAATTATTTAGTAACCTAAAGTCCAAATTTCCTGCTTGGATAGCAGCATGTGTAAAAAGGCTTTTTCTGCTGCTTCAGTAGTGATTTCTGCTTATATTGTTGAATTGAGGAACATCAAAACTTTAGCCAATATCTGTGTACTGCTTTTTTGCACGTGTGCTCTGTTACCGATTTGACTGCAGGTCTGTTCATCTTAATCAAAAAGAACTGTGTGCCTGTTACCAAGTTTGTAAGTGCAGTATTCGTTCAGGTCCTGTTTCTAAATTAGAGTCATGTCCAAAAGCTAAAGTGTGGGCTTTTAAAAGTACAAATTCATGAAAGTGTGGTGGTAACAATATTGAGAAGTTAAAATAAGTAAATAGTCAGTCCCTCTGTTCTTTGGGGCCTGGCACATTTCCACTTGTTTGTGCTGATTCCTTTGTTGGGTAACCCCAGGTTAAACATGTATCTCTTGAGAGATTCAAAGTGGTCAGTCACAGAATCTTGATCTGTCTTCCCCCCTACACGCACACTAAAACTTCTTCCTTCTGTTTTTTTTTTTTTTTTTTTTTTTTTGTTTGTTTTTATTTTAGAATCCAAAATGATTGAAAAGCATGGAGGATACAAATTCAATGCTCCAGTTGTGCCAACTTCATTTAATTTTGGAGGCCCTGCCCCGGGAATGAATTGAATTATCACTTTTCCTGCTACTGTGTGATTGTAGTGAAGAGCTTGTGTTCCTCCCAATAGTGGTTCCAGAACTGGTTCATGTTATCTACAACTCACTCTAAACTAATTTATAAATAGATTGGACAAAAGCCCCAGAAGTGGGACCTGATTATTCAACCTGATACTGGAAAGCAAACCAGAGGTCTTTTTGAAGATAGGAAGAATCTGAATTTAAAGCTTCAAATGACACACTTTGGAGATTGGAAATCAAGAGGGGATGTCATGAAGGCAGCTTTTCTTTTTCTGAGGAAAAAAAACTAGACATGGGCTGCAGGACTATTTAAAATGTCTCATTTACAGTACAAGCTAGAAGGCAGACTTAATTTTTACACCTGTGGCAGTATGAGTATTTGCCCAGTTTCTTTCCCTTTTATCCCTACTACTGGGTGTCTATTCTTTTAATGTAAATAAGATAAGGTAATCAGATAGCCTTACTTAATCTTCATCATTTCCATTTATCAAGATTGTTCATATGTAGAATATTGGACACTTAATGTAGCACTACATGACTGATAAATCTGTAAATGAATTAGCACTTTCATATTGAAACAAGCCTGCTAGCCTATGTACAAAAATAGCAAAATGTTTGCTGTTTATAAAAATAAAAAATAAGGGATGTATTGGGGAAAATAATTTCAAGTTATTAATTTAAAATGAACTAGCAGTTTTGTACCTGGTGACTTTGTGGTGCAGTCACCTCTGGTTGTGACTTGAATTCGGATATGTAAAAAGGGGTTAGTGATATTTCATTGCTGCTAAAGAAAAAATAGCAACACCCTCTGTGTCCTTTGTTTTTTTTTTTTTTTTTAAGATCTCACTGTACAAGCTAGAAAATTGAACAAATATGTACTGTAAGCACAAAGAAAAGTTATCCTTTTTAAGGCAGGTAAATGAGACATGAAGTTCTTAAGGTCAATTGAAGTGTATGGGTGAAACACCCACATATGCAATCTATTGAAAACAACAGTATCATTGGCTGATCTGGGCTATGGAATATAATTGCAATTTCCCCCCTTCCCCCCAGTTGTGCAGAATATTCTTTTTCCAGCTCATGGTACTGCAGGTGCACTACTCCTGCATTTCACTCCCCCTCTTTTTGCACTTGCAGCATTAGTGTGTGCTGTTGTCTGCCTGATCCAGACAGTGTATTTGAAGTTTTGCCAATCTTTCAGTTTTGAAGCCACAATTTTCTTCCTTCAAAGTTGCTATAGTAACTAGTATTTTAGCTAGAGAGGCAAAATACAGTTCCCTCTGGGACCACTATCAAAACCACTGTATGAAGAAGCCAGCAGGGAGAGGCTGTGAATGGGTTGGCTTAAATGCCCCCTTTTTCTTTTCTAAAAGCAAATCCATTGGCGTTTGATCTTGCCTTGAGATCATTGGTGTCAGGTCTTTTAAATCAAATGTTTGGGTTGGTTTTTTTTTTTCCTTTAGGCTGTTTTTATATAAAAATGTCACCTGCTGTTACAATTGATATTAAACAAGCTACCTTAATTTAATGTAAGCCTCCAAAATTTAAATACAGGTTAAAAATAAACGGAGTTTTTATCTGTAAAAATGAAATGCACATATATATATATTATGATACTCAAAATGCAGTCTTCAGAAAATTGGTCTGTGTGGTGTGGTTTTTTGCATCAGCAGAGTAGCAGGATTTGACGGTGCTTTGGGGTTTCCTTGCTGATCTGCCCAGCCCCACGCTCTGCCTGGTGCTGGCGCTTCCCAGGCAGTGGGAAGGGTTTTCCAGCCTCTCCACTGGAGAGCAGCAAACGTTTCTCTGCACGCGGGGGGCCAAGGTGGGACACGGAGCCCTGCCCCAGTACCAAAGGGACACTTAAAAAGCAAAGCTCCTGAGGTGAAAAAAACCTGACTGTGATGGATGGGAATACCCATCCTCGTGGTGGTGTGAGACCCGGGGTCCTTGCTGTGCATCTTTAGGGGATGCACGGAGCAGAACTTACCTGGGGGTTTGTGACTGTAACTCACGGGCACGGCCAGGCGTGCTCCGGCCCCCAGGGAATCTAGACAGGGTTTTATTTTTGTAGAAAAAGCTAACAGATGTGCTTCCAGCACGCCTTCTGCTTGCATTGCTTGGGAACACCCAGTTTAACAAATAATTTCTGAACATCTGCTGGTTGGGTATCTGCTTACCTTCATATGCATCCTAAAAATGCATGAGAAGCTTTGAGGACAGATGAGCCATTTTGGGCCTCCTGGCAGAAGATGTGGCAGCAGCAGTGAGAAGGCTTCATGTGTAAAGCAGATGACAAAAAATAGGGGGAAGTCACCAATTTTAGTGCTATTATCAGTTCTGGAACAATTATATTTTTCAAGTCACAAGGGAAGAATTCTATCTTGGTGTGAGGAGTACAGTCTTTAAGGGTGCTTTTATGTGTCACTAGACTGGTTAGCAAGGAGCATCTTTTTTAAGAGTGGATCTAAAACTTTGCTTTCCTTTGCTCCAAGGAATGTATTTATATAAATTGCAAAACAATTTTGCATTGTTGTTGGTGGTGATAGCGCATTTTGTGATGCAATATATCAATTTCAATGATACACTTATGTCAAATTAAAAACTGATCTTCCTCCTAGAACTTGCACTTATCCATTCCATTTTCAAGGATAATGCAACTCTAGAGGAAGAGCTGGGAAACTTAAAGCCTCTGTTTTTTTCTATTATGGAAGATCTCCTTGGATTAATAAACATCTAAAGCAAATCCTTATCTTCACTTATTTCAGTGTGGTGTTTTGAATGTAGATGTATCCTTACAGTAGAGTCCTGCTGGAGTTGCACAGATCTCAGGTTTGTATTTCCCTCTCCAAAATACTCCTCCAAACAAATGTTAGGCACAACTAGAGTTCTCTTCAACTGTGTTAAATATAAAATATAGGCAGTGTTTAAAAATGCTGACATACTGGGTTAATATTTTTTCCCTTAATCACTGTCTTCAAAGAATTATTAATATGTATCAGCATAGTACCACAAAGCTCTGTTCCAATCTCCTATAGCCTAGGACTGTTACTGCAAGACTTTATCAAGTCTGCAGTGGAATAATTACTGACTACCTGCCAATAAACATACAGGTGATTTTAATGATGCCTAGTAATGGATACCTGGTAGCTTTTAAGGGTTAATTAATTTTCTCCGTGGAACCTTCTACATACCCAGAATGAGCCAGGTGGAAAAGCTTTGTCTGCTGCTGTCAGTTACTTTTCAATTAATATGTAGCTTATCTTAGATGGTGTGTCACTGGTTTGTGTGTCTCTACTTTTCATAGCAAACTGTTGATGGTGGAAACATACAGCACCTCAGAATGAGAAACAGACATTGTAGTATTTTGCAGACATGATAATCTATTAAGACAAGGGGAGCTGGCAAATCAGAAACAGGATTTTATCTTGGGTACTTCACTGCTGCTGTACCTCGAAACAAAGTGATGCCTGCAGCTTGTATTTGGCTTAAAATTTATAATTAGGAAAGAAACGCTGTTGGCCATTAGGCCTGTTTGGGAACAAGTATTTTTTTGGCTTTTTGTAGAACTGCAATAAATTTGGACTGCAAGAATTTCAAACTATTATTCCGGAGCAAAACGTAATTTTTTTTACATCTCTCATGCTCAGGAACGTGCAGTAAGTCCACCAGAGCTGGGCTTACGGTCCCGTCAATGGGAACAATTCGCGTCATCTTACAACTCGGTTTTCTAAGAAATCACCTGCGGAGTTTACCGCAACACGCTTTACTTGCCTTACACTGGGAGCTGGGGCACTAATACACGTTTCCATACCTAATCACCACGTAAGGATAACACTTCCAAGCACAGCTTTAACACAGCGTCCTTCTCCCACAGCGCCGGGCTGGAATGGCAGCCGGAGATAATGCGGCAAGAAGCCGGGAAGAGAAGGGCAGAGCGCTCGCTGTCCCCGGCCCGGTCGTGAGGGCCCGCGGATGGCCCCGGCCGAGGCGGATCCGCTGTCCCGGGGCCCGTGCCCGTCCCTCACCCCCCGGCCCCGGCCCTGCCGCCTCAGGCGCTGCCGGCGCGCGCCGGGGGAGGGCAGGAAATGGCGCCGCTCCCCGCTGGCGCGCGGGCGCCTGGCTGCCCGCTGCACAAAATGGCGGCGGCCCCGCGCCCGGCACAGCTGCGACGCCATTGAAGCCGCGGGGCGGGGCCGCGGGCGCGCGGCCAATGGGCACCGGCGCGCGGCCCGCGGGCGGCCAATGGCGGGCGGCGGCGGCGGCGGCGCGCGCGGCCCGGCCAATGGGAGCGGAGGAGCCGGCGCCGCCGGGCCCCGCCCGCGGGGCGCGGGGCGGTGCCGAGCAGGCGGGCGGCGCCGAGCGGCCGTTTCCTGTCCTGGTGCATGGTGGTCGGACGGAGGAATTGTTGGAAAATTTCTCGGCGAGGTTCGTATATAAATGTGCTTTTACCCAGTGTGCCTTATGCTCCCTCCGCCATCTCCGGACGGGGCCGCCGCGCCGCGCCCGCTGCGGCCGCCGGCGGTGCCCGGGGAGGCGGGCAGGGGCAGGGGAGCGCGGGCGGCACCGAGCCGAGCGGCAGAGCTGCGGCGATAAAGCCGCTCCGCTCCGCGGGGCCCGCCCGGCCCCTCCCCGCCCGCCGGGCCCGCGGGGGTCCCCCGGGCCGCCCCCCCGGGCCCGCTCGGCGCTGCGTCAGGGGCGGGGGGCGAGGGGTACTTTAATCCGGGGCGCTCCGGGCCCCCCGCCCGCCGTGCTCTAATCGGGGGGGCTCGCAAATTTTTGCATTTTCCCCGTTGTTTGGTTTTTTATTTTTTATTTTGCTTTTGGTTTTTTTTCCCTATTTTTAAGCACATGCTTTTTGTTACTGTTATTTTTTCCAAGGTGATGTTTCCGTGCTGCCGGCCGCGTTTCGCAGCCGCGGCCGGGCCCGCGCAGGCTCCGGGGGCGAATCCGCGGTGCCGGCCCCAGGCGCTGGGCTGCGGCGGCCCGGCCGCGCTCTCACGGGAGAAGCGCCTGGCACCGGCCGGCCTCCTGGAGTCCTGCTGCTTCACTGCATCTCGCTCACCTCGCCAAAATGCTGGAGCGTTTTCACCTTTTGTTTTTTTCTCCTCAATTTTTTAATTTTTTTTTTAATTTTTTTTACTCTTGTCGTTCCCTTCTTTTTTTTTTTCTCTACAACTTCTAATAGAACGGGATAACGAGAAGCTGCTCCTCTAGAATAGTGGCCTGCAATAACGCAAAGATTTTTATTTTTTTTCTGATAAGGCCTTATTTGTGGTGCTTTTTCATCCAGAAAAAATGACGTGACTCCCGTGCAAGTTTAATTTTTCACTTACAACAAGACTGCGGTTCAGCAGCTCTATTTTAAGTTTTAAATTTTTTAAGGTTTCATTTTGAACTATCAGAGAAATGCTTTTGCCATCATACGCAGAGTGATGCCCGTATTTGTAAGGAATGTTATTTCTAGTCCAGTGACACAGGAATTGCAATCTTCCAGTTTTTTAGACCAAGCATTTCTTCTTTATTTTATCGAGTCTGCATTAAGTGTTGACCATCAGCTCTCTTTGCAGACTGTATACTAGATATTTCTGTTGTAGCTTCTAGGGACCTGAAAAATGAAGTAAGATTGTGCTTAACTAGCATTTTTTTAACATTCACATGGTAGACTGTTAGCTTTGTGCGTTTGCCATACAGCTTTAGAATGGCAGTGTACGTTGTAGCCGTGTTTTCATTGCTTGTTTCTTTGTATTTTGCATTAATGCCGTGAGCTTTCAAGCCGTGTTTGTGTCAAAAGCGATTTGTCTGTTTCACTGCAGAAAAGGAACCTCAGGAATATGTGGTCAAATAATAGATGATTGCTTTGGTAATGGATTGCAGTTTAAACGAGATGTAAAAATAAACATTTTGAAAGAGTTTTAAGAAGTGTATTTCAAATTGATTTAATAATTTACTTAAAACTGTTCCCGTTGTAATTAATATTTTATTTCTACTACCCTATCTGAGGAAGAGTAATTTTGCTTTATATTAAAGACTGAAACAAAGCAAATGCTTAAAACAGTGTAAAAGGAACTTCAGGTAGGAAGTCGCACTGTCTTCATTTTTGTATAGCTTTTAATGCTTTTCTCCGGAGACACAGCTATAGTCAATTGGTGAATAGTCCTTGCTAATGGGTGCCAAAATCAGGCTGTAAATTAATTTTTTCTTTAGAATATTGCCAGTTTTGTGCTGCTTCAGCTCAGTGGACGTTTTGCTGACCTGTACCGTCCAGGAGAAGGGAATGCCAGGAGTTTGAGCAGTGGCCAGGTCCAGGTGCTGGCTGTTTGCCTGTGTGACTGCTCCCCTGAAGCTCTGTGGGATGGGCACAGGGATAATAAATAAAGAGTTCATCGGCTTTAGTTTGGTCAGGATGGCTTCATTTACCCTACGGATGTTGGTCTTGCTTTTGCATGTGAGTCTTCACCTGAAGAGTTTTGGGTTAACCCAGGGTCAGCATAGGCAGAGTCTTTGAGAAGCACTATTGCATCTTGAGGAGTCGTTAGCAGGCACCTGTGAAGCAAATTGTTCTCCAAAGGGCTTGGATTAATTTGGATGGGTTTCTGCACACACAGATAATCAGGGCAATTATTCCAGTTTCAGGCTCACAATGGCCAGAATGCAAATATTCATGAGGAGGGTGGACCCATCTTGGTGGTCTTGTAGTTACTCACTTTCCTGTCTGCATTTTGGCTGGTACCTGTCTCCTTGGCCATCCCCGTGGTTGGTGCTTCCCGTGATAATTCCTGTAACTCCTGCAACCTCTGACATGTGTGTACATAGCTCAGCGCCCCAGGCCAGCCTTGCTTTGCTGCTCACTGATTTCCCTGTATTGCTGCTACGTCTCTTGCAGCTCACCAGCAGTGGTTTTTGCTCAGCATCTACTGGGGACAGCTTGGTTTTTTATCTCCTCTGTGCGAGGAAATCAGTGCACCTGGTAAAGACAGCGTGAATTAGTTTGTTCCTATGGCTAGTATCACAAAAGATCCCAAAAGATGGGAGGAAGGTTTCTGTTTAGCTTATGGGTCCCTAAGATACACTACGATCCAAACCCATGGATCCTCTTCTTGAACTCGAGGTGTGCACAGCTCTTGTTCTGAGCCTGGAGAGAGGGGTCTGAGCCAGGTGTTTCTCCATGGATACCATTTCTAGGGAGGAGAGGAAGGAAGCATGGTGACCCATCTCAGCACAGTGGGGTTTATGGGGTTTTGCCTGTGCTTAAGTGTAACTTGATCTGCCCTTAGTTGTATTTACTTAAGGGAATGAAATTTTGCTTCTCCCCCTCTGGCACCAGGGATCATTGATCAGTTACTCCAAACCAAAGTGGACTAAATTAGTAGATGCTTCCAGTAACTTAATCTGCTAAAATGTTCTGGGCTGCATAGCTGGTTTTTAATTGTATAGTGGGATTGTACTTTGCTCCACCAAGATAACACTTGTTAAATAAATGAAATTTTCCGTTTCAAAGGGAATTAATTTACAATTCCAGCAGGTTTTGCAATTTTCAAGGTTGACATCAGAGTTACACTTAAAAACGATCTAATGCTTACCTCAGTCTGTATTTTACTGTCTGCAGAATGTTTCCCTCTGTATACACTTGAGCAGAAAATTGTGTTACCTACTTAATACTCTTGGACTTAATTTCTGATGACAGATTAGAATTGGAAGATCGGTCTGTGTTTGCAAGTTAGTTGGTTTGCTCATATTTTAAGTGTATTCATACATAGCTAACGTGGTGCTGCATGGGGTTTTGTAGGATGTATTTCGATGTACTGGGTTTCAAGTTCTGTTTGTAATCTGGCTTTGGCAATCCAGCCGGCTGCCCCTTTAGCTCCTGAAATACAAGCCTGTGCTAAAGCACTGCCATGAACTGTCATGGCTATTGCTGATACATCTGTAATGTACTTACCAGATTGCTAATTAACTCAGAGCCACACAAAACAACCCACTCAAAATTCCTCTCTTTGTTGGCAGTCTCAGTGGATTTGCAGGATTTGAAAGGGCATGGCCAGGATTCATTTGTTTTGGTGATGTAAATAATATACTTCTGTGATTGCTTGACAGTTAAAAAGTTAGGAGTCTATTTGGCATGAAAGTAAAACAACAGTAGAAATAGTGGGTCTCAGTTTCTTTCAGATTTTTAGCCCTTAACTGTACAGTTAATCACCAGATGTTCCCAGTTTTATTTTAAACAGTGATATAACTGGAGATTTTATGATTTAAGGGATAAGTAGCCCCATGAAGTATTTCAGAAATTAACTGTATATATTTTTTAGTGTAAATAGGCATCACTGCTCATTTCTAGGAGTGACGTAGATACAGTTGTGACATGCGTTAGCTGGGTGCTTCTGAATACCTATTTTAGCTAGCTATACACTTGATGGTAAAAACAAACAAAAGCCTGTAGTTTTAAAAACATTCATCTATTTGGTGCCTTAAATCTGCTTCCCTTTATACTTCCAGGGTGAAAATCAATTTGCAATTAAATGCTTTATCTCACTAACATGTGCTGTAAAATTACTTTAGGTTTGGAGTTTTTTTCATCTTTGTTAATGATGAAACGTTTTTTTCAGAAAATCAGCTCACCTGCCATTCAGCTTTTTTTCTGAATGTGCCCATTATAATTAGTTACCCAAATATTTTTTGACTATTAAAATACAAGTAATTTATTACCAGTCAGTCTGCAATAAAGAAATGGGTTTGAGGTTCTTTAGAAAGGAAGGTATGCTTGAGCACTGCTAATACAAGTTTGTCCAGGGGAGAAGAAATGAACAAGAAATACCACCTGTGTTGAGAGAAACTTGGGCTCTTTGGATAGGCTAGTTCTGCAGTTGCATTTGCAGTAGGTTTGCAAGGCATTCCATGCACACAGCCCAGCATTCCTAATGATACGGGGGTGTTTCAGGCGTGCTTGAATTTGCTGTTTGGGACAGATTATATGGGTGGCTCTTCCTCAAGCCAAACTACTGCTACTGCGGATAATAATAATAACTAAGTCATTAGCATGTTGCTCATTGACCAGCTGCATTAGTATGTTCTTTTGTACTTAATATAAAAATTTTGGAATCCTGGTGTTTGTACCTCTGCAAACAGTGCTGCATGGATCTCAATGGCTTGTCAGCTTCCATGGAGGATTTTTGGAATTGGCTCTGTGGAAGACTCCCAAATCTGTTTCAAACCTCTGGCTCAGGAAGCCATGCTGCTGGAATAGTGCACCCAGGGCAGGTGTGGTCATGGAAATGGGTGTTTGCTGTGAGGTGCTTGTCCCAGAGCTGCAGAAGGAGCTTAGCTTCTGTCAGCACTGCTGCCAGCTCAGTGGCTGATGGAACTACTCTGGCCTCCTTTCATTAACTAGTAATTTCTTCTCTAATATATTCAAGAAATGTGTGAAGTTAGAAGTCATATTTGAGACCAGCCTAGGATTTGTTGGTGGGTGACTTTCTGAATCTTCCTGTGTTTAAATGCCATACCTTCGAAAATAATACCATTCCTTCACATTCCCACAGAGTGAAAATACACACATACTCATAATCTCATTAGTTAGAGTAAGGATTTGTAAATATTCTTTATTTGCACTGGTTAATCCAATTTTTTTTATCTATAAAATGCAAGTATTGCTATCAGTCAATACTTCTAACAGTCACAATTTGTGGGTAGCATTTGCACTATGAACTGTGAGGAAATGACTTTTGGGGGAAAAAGACTGCTGGAACATGAAGTAATTTTGTCAGGCTAAATGTGGTTCCCACTGCTCACACTTAAGTCAGACTGATGTGTGGTTAAGGCAATGATAAATTTGGTCTTCCATTTGTTTTTCACATCTGAAGAAATACCAAACACTGTAGCAGTGAATTACTCTTGAACTGCATTATTATTAGGATGTATCTCTTGTGGAACAGAAAGGTTGAAATACTGTAAAAAGAATAAAAAGGAGCCTTGAGTTTGATTGCTTCAGAGTGTGTGTGTTGTGCTTGTGCAGTTGATAGTGCTCTCTTGGTCAGGTTTTTCTGCAGGACAAGATTTAGGGCCTGTAGTTTGTCATTCTCAACACTTCTTTACGATGTAGGAAATTAGAAAGTGATTCTGTGATTTGATATTAAATTATCTGACTCCAACCCCAGATTCTGTAGGAGAGGTTTTTATTCTGTATTTCAGCCTTGTTTCCATTTTATACTGTGGATGATTAATGTGGTGGAAATTGCTGTTTAATTATGTTTTGCCTTTACAAGAGACTGGAGAAAATACAGTAAAAGAAATAGACATTATTTGAGAAAGCATGTAGCAATTAAGAAGTGCCCAACATCAAGCAGTTGTTACAATTATTTACTGAAAGTCAGTCTGACTGACAACAGCACAAACCCCAGTTTTTCAGTGCAGTAAAGTCCTGGAAAAGGTAATGGCTATTGATGAAGAAGGAAATCCACATCTCTTGAAGTGTTTGATCAAAGCACCCACAGGATCTAGATTTAGTTTCTGACCCTGCTACAGATTTCTGCTTAATACTGGAAAAGATTATCATGCAGCTACGTAGGGGAGCAGAAGTAAGATTGTAAAAGGAATCCTAGTTCTCCTGTGTCTATTTCTGAGCTTAAAGATGACAAATGCCTTTATGTAATTAGTGGGGGAAGAAATGCTAAAAGTCTTCTTGGGTTATCTGAAAAAACATCATGTGGAATAAATAGTCAGTTTTCCAGTCTGTCAGACTTTTTTTTTTTTTTTTTTTTTGCACTGAGAAGGCTGTAACACATATGAATTATCAATTGAAGTGTATTTAACCAGATTGTTAATTGTAGGTACTATTTTTGAATTTTCACACATTTGTTGCTCAGACTAGTTTTGTGAAATTACTGATATTTGCAATCATATCAGTTGTCAAGGACCCTAAGGTAGGTAGTATTTAATTCAGGAAAAACTTAATTTTGTTACACTGTGGACATACTTGAATTGATTTTGGGATACAGCTTTGTCAACCATGGGAATACAGGTTTCTAAAATTCCTTAATAAAAGTTTCACTATTGTGAGGCTGTGTATCATTTGCCATATTACCCTTCTTCATTGGTTTTTATTTGCTGTTTTTATAAGTTTTATAAAATTATAGAGGTTTTGTACATTATTTAGAAGTGTATTAAAAATAAAAGTTATGTCTCTTTTCAAATGAAATAAATGCATATTATTTCTAACTTCTCAGTGCTGTGTGCATGAGGGGAATGAACAATCACAAGGTTGTTGAATGTCTAGAGTAGCTTTTTTCCTGTCATTCTTCCCTAGTTCGTTTGCACATTCTAAGTTTGTATTTTGTAACAGTAAATTTTCTTCCATGCCTGCTATTACAAACTTTATTCCATTTCCCATTAATCATCCTCAAAGCATCATCTTTGTCTCTCTAGGGAGTTTCTGCTACTGTCACTACAGGAATTTTCCTTTGTCCAGCAGTACAGTTATTCTTTAAATGAGGAATTCCTGCTATTTTCCAGCCACACTGGGCTCTCCTCATTCTGTCCTCTCAGCTGCTGGAGTTGCCAAGTGCCCCAAACGCCTTTCTGCTCCAGAGCAGCCATGCCCTTTGCCAGCTCTTCCCTTGCTTCTCAGTTGCCTGAATCCCACCTGCTGTTTTTTAGTTGTTGATTCCTAGTTTTTAGTGGAGATTCCTGTTTCCAGTTGCTAGATTGAGTTTACAAAAAAAACTTTCTTCTAACATTGCATCTTTTCTCCAAAACAAGTGATAGCACCCAGAAAATTCTATTTGTTTGAGTGTTAGTGGGGGAAAAATTACAGGAGGTGCTCTCTAGATAGGCAACTTGATGAACTCTTCATGAAAAATCTTTTATTTTTAACCATCCTTTCCCTGCTCACATGCCTTTGGTTTCCAAGTGTTCAGAATTTAATGTGTGTCTGGGAGTATTTATTTCTTTCCAGATAATTTGCAGGGGGTGGTGGTTGGTTTATTTTTTTTGTTTTTTTTTTTTTTTTTAATAAGAGCTTGCACCTCTTTGGTCCTGCTGGATGGCTGTTCAAGGGATCAGTGCTAGAGGGGGGGTGGCTGCCTGTGGTCACACACTCCAGTTCAGAGATTTTCTGTTGAATTTTTTTGCCTCAGGCTGATTTTTTGTGAGAAGTGTTGGAACCATCTAAAAGAATGGTAAGATTTTCTCTGCATGGATACCATAGACATGTTTTGGTGACTAATCATTTCAGGAATGCAAGATCCGTTACTGTCCTTGTGAAAATCTGCCCAGATATCGTCATTGATGTGCCTGTGGAAATTGACAGTTGCAACTTGCGTATGATCTGTGAAGATTTGCGAGAGTTCACAAAGTCAACTCTCGAGTTTTCACTTCAGTGAGTACTTCGTGACTGAGCCTGGGCTTGTCTTTTCTGTGAGACAGCTCTTGAGATGAAGCAGAATCCATGTGTGTCAATCTTGCCGAGCTGCTATGTAGGCTCCACCCCAGGGTTCCTGGCCTTTTCCTAAAAATAGTTACTTTCAGCTGCTTTTAACTAATGAGCTGCAATATTTGAAGTGGGTAAAGGAAGTCTCTCCTAGATTTTTATTGACAAAACTCCTGGCAGACAGATTTAAAGAAAAAAAGCTTCCTGATGCAAATGTGGGGGAATAAAAGCAATTATATGGATTAGGGAAAGAAGCTGGTGAGATTTAGATGGAAAAAATTATGGAGACAAATTTGATGGAAATTTAAGAAAGTGACTGAAGTAGAGGCAAGGAAGAGATTTGAGTGTGATGAAAACCAACTGGTTTTGAAAAAGCAAAGCAAAAAATGTTAGAGTAGATTTGCAGGGTGGATAATACATGAATAGCAAGGTGATGCTGTTGTAGATGTATGCATTATTGAAATTATTACCAGAGAGCAGATGAAGTTGGAAGGACTTTCAGAAGTTGTCTGGTTCAGGCTTGATGAAAGCAAGTCTCATTTGCCCAGGGCTGTGTGAAGTTGTTTCGAACCTCTACAAGGATGGAGAGTCCATACCTGTCTTGGCAATTTGTTCCTGTATTTGATCACTCTTACCAAGTGACACTGTGGTATCATTATCTCTGCCGGATTGACCCTTTTCTCTGCAATACAGGCCAACTCTGCATCCTTCCTTCCTGCATCTTCCCAGCCCTGTCTGGCTAGTCAGTGTTCTCCAGTGGGGAGAAAGAGGAGAGCCTGGCAGGGAGCAGCACATCCCCTTTTGGCTGAGGGCTCTCTTCTCTGCACAACAGAGTGGCAGAGCAAAGCTGCTGTGTCCCTGCAGAGGGAGCGAAAGCTGGGGCTGGTGTTTGGGGGGAGCCCAGTGCTCCAGCCTCTTGTGGGGGATGTAGTTCCAAGGTGGGTCTGAACATGAACTGGTGACACACAGAGGAAGGAAGGGGATGGACAGTGTTGTGAGGGGGTCATAAACAGAGCAGCAGCAAGAGAAGGCTTGGAGACTGGTTGCAGAAGGAGTTGGTGTGGGCATAGAAGTATTTTATATTATTCTGACAAGAAGAATGGGATTATAGCTGGGGAGAGGCATGTCCTGAAAATTTAGTATCGTGATAGGACTGAAGAAGAAAATTGGTACAAGGAGAAGGGATGGAGCTGGGGATAAGGAACTTGGTGGAAGGACAGAAGATTGAGAAAAGGATATGTTGGAAGTGACCACTGAAAGGAGCTGGAATTGGGAGAAACAGGCTGCATTGCTGCTGAGTTCTTATGTGAGATTGTATGATTGTCCAGATCCTCTGAAACAGAGGAAAGTTGTAGCCATTGTTCCGTGTGCAGCGGTTCCCTTCAGCTGTTTTCAGCGTGTGAGTGGACAGCCCTGTTACAGTAACAAACACTGTGAAACAAATACTATTGCTCCTGCAGCCCTTGAATGTATCTGGCATGAGATTTCTTTTCCTTCCAAAGTAGCTACTCAGCCCTTAAGCCGTTCGTTCTGCTCCAACTCTCAGAACTCTGCAGCTGTCTGCATGGACTGGCTCCCTCACTGCTGTCCAAAGGTGGGAGAAGAGCCATGAGTTCTGCAGGAAGGGAGATGCTATTAAAGGTGCTGGGGATCTCCAAAGACACTTTGTCTAAGAGAGGGAATACTCCTCGAGTAGACCTGAGCTGAAAGGCCTTTGAGGTGCACTCTGCTAGAATTGTTTCACTCTCTAGTTCCAGTGAACACTTGTGGTTATGAAGCCTGTCTCCTCTGCTGTGTGCAATGGTGTAGCTGTTTTGCAGCCCGCTTCCATGAGATGTCCTGAAAACTGAGCATGGAAAATGCTGCCAATACAGACCTCTGTTGTTAGCAGAGGACAGCCAGCCTCTGGGTACCACTAGCATAGAGTACCAGAAATAGTTAACTTGCTACAAGCTGGTTGTACCTCCAGAAAAGCAGCCCTTGCAAACTGGGCTGGATAAAACTCCTTTTGTTGCTAGATGTGTTGGTGGTGATGTGGTTTGTTTTGTTTTATTTTGTTTTGTTGTTTTTTTTTTTAACTGCAACAGTTTTCTAATCTTATTTGCTGCATAGTAGATGAATGCTGGGCTGCTTTGCTTCTGTGCCTGCTTAGGCTGACTCTGTGGCTATGTCATGACTGATTTTTGGTTTGTGAGCAAACTGCTTCCTAAGTAAAAGTCTTCTGCCTGTTTTGAGATGGGGTATGATAAATGAGTGGGAGGAAAATAAGTTACTTTTCCAAACTCACAGTCGTGGACATGGCAGAGGAAGAGGTTGAACTCAGGATCTCCTATATCCTCATACAATTCCCTGTCTCTTAGATTATAGTATCCAAACAAATTTTCCTATTTAATTTTCTTCAGAGACATCTATATAAATGCAATTTAGTCTGGATGGCTTCTCCTTTTCATGTGTATTACATCTCTTTTAGAGCCCTCATTTTCTGTAAAAGCTCCTTTTCCTGAAAAGCATGTTGGCAAGAATTACCCATCTTCTCTTGGATCCCAAAAAAATCCCCTCACACCCATTTTAAATTTTATTTTTATTTCTCTCTTAATTGTATCTTTTTAATTGTATATTTTTTATGCCGGTTGTTCAAGGTTCAAATTCCTTATTACAAACCAGTATTTTAATTTCCTTAATGTTCCAGAGAGAAATTATGAGGACATTAATCTTGGAAGGCATATTTCTTACAGAATTATGCACTGATCATTAGTAATAATTTAGGGGGTTTTGTATGATCTTCAATCTAACATAGGAAAAATGCAGGAGGGCTTAAAACTTTCCCAAAGGCACCCTTGCTTTCCACTTCCTTTGTTAATCTGTATCTGTTCCATTAACTGGAAATAAGAAACTGAGCCTGCAGCTGTAGGAAAAAGTATTGGATGTATACATCCAAGTGTGTGCAAAATATTGTGTATTTGGAAAATAATGCTTGGGTATAATTTTCAACTACTAAATTAGTGTGGCAACTTTTTTAAATACCGAAGGCACACTGGAGTACCTCTGTGGTCTAATTTTGTTCTCCTTAGTTTTGAGAAAAGTACAATTTTCTCAATGGTATTTGAGGCTGTAGAGATAAAAATAGCTAAATATATTTATAAAGGTACTCATAAATAAATGAAACCCACTAGATTATTCTTCTTAGCCTTGAATTATAAACCAGTAGGTCATAGAACCACACTAGGATTAAAAGCTGTGATGTGATCTCCCATATTAAAACATGCCTGGGTAAAAATGTGAGTATGCAAAGGGATGGCTCTGTCTGGTTCTGTGAGATACAGCAGTCACTCCCTGATCACTGGCCTTTTATCTAATTAGCAAATTTTATCACGGGATACTTCATTATTTTAAATAAGATTGTTTTGTTTTGGTTGGTTGGTTTTTTGTTTAAACAGAAGCCTTTCTGGAAAATCTAGGGAAATAGTTGAATTGTTCAGTTAGACTTTTGCAGTGTGTCATTGTTAAACCTCTTACTGCCACTGGACAGGTCTTTGATTTATACAGATAAAGCCCTACTGTTGTCATGAGTGACTATGTGTGAATTGTCAGCTTTATTTCAATTCTGGGGACAAACAGGTATCATTACCTGTATGTCATTACCACCACTAGTCTTTGTACATTGGTTAAATCACTTATGTTTAACTGAAATTTAAATGTGGTTGATGCACTTTATATAAATAACTGCTACCTGAAGTCCTTAACGTCTAAGTTAATTGTTAAATAAAGTTAAATACTTATCTAGTTCAGATAACTCTTATTCCTCCAAAATATTTTCCAGATAAATCAATCTTTTTTTGTATCTATTTTATAGAAAACATAGCATAAAACATTTGTAGCAGCTGTATGAAAATCACATTAAACAGGGATTATGTAGTACTGGTTCTGTATTTCAATTTTCTGGTTTTTGAATACTTTCTTTCTAGGTAGACAATGTTATTAGCTCAGATAAATCGAGACTCTCAGGGAATGACGGAATTTTCTGGAGGAGGAATGGAGGCCCAGCACGTGACTCTGTGTCTAACAGAAGCTGTAGCTGTGCAAGGTGACCCTTCAGGTTAAAATACTTCTACATTATTATGTCTTTTCTCTTTGAAACTCAGATAAAACACTAAAATTCATGTCATGTATTCTGAATTAAAAGTGCAACGGAAAACAGTTAATTGAGATTTATTTAATTCAGTAATTTAATTCTGGATGAAAATTATTTTTAAATTAAGATAGTAGAAGTGTAAATGTGCCAAAAATACATTAAATATAAAATTTGACTTTATTCTCTGTATAGTCTTGCTGTTTTATACTTTGTAAATTCAGTTGATATCTAAGTATGTATTAAGCAAGTTGAGTTTTAAAATAGATTAGCGACTTGAAATTGGCTTAAACTTGGTTTTTCCTGACAGCTTTGTTACAATTTTACATTATTACAAACTCTCTCCTAAATCTGCATTTTAATCTAAATCTACAAATTACTTGTATTAATGACAAGTAGTTTGTACAAAACAAAGTTTTCAATACAAGTATGTGTGTTGTTATTTCACTGTTGGCTCTGATGATTTAATTCACAGTTCTCCTAAAACCTCAGCTTTGTAGTTATTTATTCAGTGACACTGTATTCTTTTTTAGTTAAGGAAAATAACATTTAGCTGTCATGTTTACAGAGCAAAATCTAGAATATATGACTCTAGTACGTGTCCCAGGCTTAGAAAGCAAGTAAGAGCAACTTGCTCTTCTTATTTGTCAAAGCAATGTGCTTTGAGGGGATGTAATAATTTATGGAAGTCTTTCAGCTGAGATTGCTAGTGTTCCATGCTGGTTATAGTGAAGGTGAACTTTTCCCTGACAGATGGTGACAACTTGGAAAACATGGAAGGTGTAAGTTTGCAAGCAGTTACCCTGGCTGATGGCTCCACTGCTTACATACAGCACAATTCTAAAGGTAGGCAGAGGACTGCAAACTGGTGGCTACTGAAGTGGTATTCCCTTTCTAACCCTCTCTTTGCATTGTAAAGTCAGGCAAAATCGTACCATGTTTCTGAAGTTCCAATTCCAGTGCGAAATTATGGTAATACTATAAAAGAAATGTTTTGGTTTTGCTACTAATAAGATGCAAAAATGAAATTCAGAACATAAGTCAAACAAAAGTGAAGACATCTTTATGGTTCAAACCCAGATATCAACATTCTGCCTAACAGATAGGACAGCTGACCTTTTCTGGTTTTTAATCCCAGAATTTTAAAAGCTCTGTACAGTCACACTGTGCCTTCTATTTACCAAACATTCTTTCTTGTTGATATTTTATTTATATGTTAATCTAGAAAGTATCAACTGTGTATTAAAACTGTGATGTGTTACATAATTAGAATTCTTAAAAATATTCTGTATATTTCAGATGGTAAATTGATGGATGGCCAAGTGATACAATTAGAAGATGGTTCTGCTGCTTATGTTCAACATGTACCTATGCCTAAAAGCAGTGAGTGCAATAATACAAATAATGTATTATAAAATAACGTATTACTGATAAATATTGCTATTAAGTAATTAACAGTCATTATGATAATAGCTTGATTTCTTATTTTAATGGAAATAATCATGAAGAGATCTTGGGTATTTTGTAATCCTGGGTATTTAGTGTTTAATCTTTCCATCTAAGGACTCTTTGAACTTTTGCTGAACTGCTGTAATTGTTCCTCCTGAGCAGGGGAGAGCCTGCGTCTGGAAGATGGACAGGCGGTTCAGCTGGAAGATGGAACTACAGCATTTATTCATCACACCTCGAAAGGTAACTCTTCTGGCAAGTGGGATTTGTTACCTCAGTGTCCAACAGAACTTCAGCAGTATTTAACAGGACACTCTCTAAAAACTATCATCTTAATGGGATTCCTAGTGTTAATTACTTGTTGCTTTAATTTTGACATCCGAAAATTGTTGAAATGAGAATATTTCAGTTCTTGACTTGGGCCTCATCTAAGAGTTGTAAATGTAATCAAACTCAGTGTACTTCACCGTTTATTTAGCCCAGGATCACATTAAAGTGAGTTTATACCTTTAGGTAGTAGGGCAAAAAATGTGACCGTCAAGAATGCAAATGTAGTTATTCCAGATGATAACTTCTGTTTCTGCAGAAGATGATTACACTAGTCTTGGAAACAATACCACTTCTCTGGAAAAGGTGATCAAGTATATATTTCAAGTCTGTTTAAACCAGTGTGACAATTACATTTTACCACCAACAATAGTAAGAGGAAAGAATGTAATATAGAATTTTTTTTTTAATTAGTCTTATATTTTGTGTTTCTTTTGTATATTTGCATGATTCTCTTCTTATAATCAGAGATCTAGGAATTCTAGAACCTGAAGTAATTATATTAATAGATCTCCTATATTATTTTCATTTTATTATAAGAGCATTTGAAATGGAAAGCATATTTGTGTTCCTGATTTCCTTTGTAAATAAAGCTAGATCAATATAAATTTTTTTGTACTTTTGTAAGTGTAGAAATAAAACTATAGGAGGTGTTGTCTTGAAAACAAATTCCTGTGTTATTCATAGTATTATTTTAAGTGTTTCTATTTCTCATATACTAGTGGTTGTATTTCCCATATGTTTCATATGTGTCTATGACTTCAGGAGACATGTCCTGGAAGCAGCAATTTCTCATGTAACACACTGCTGCTCCTTTCAGAATCCTAACACTCTGCAATATCATTCTTCAGACAGTTATGACCAGAGTGCTCTGCAAGCTGTGCAGCTGGAGGATGGGACCACTGCCTACATCCACCACACGGTGCAGATGCCACAGTCAGACACCATTTTGGCCATCCAGGCTGATGGCACAGTGGCAGGACTGCACACAGGAGATGCTGCCATCGACCCTGATACCATCAGTGCTTTGGAGCAATATGCAGCCAAGGTACGCTGCAAGGCATTTGCTCTATCCATCATGTTTTAATGTACAGCATTAATATTATATATTAAACAACAAGGCAGTTGTTGTTTAAGAAATGAAATTGTAACTGGGAGAGTCTCAGACTCCTAGAAGAGAGAACACCAAATTGTCATAACAGTGCTTCACTGTCATGAGCAGCTCTGGTGCATAGTGTTGCATAAAAAGGAGAAAAGATTCAACACTGAACTGGAGTATGATTTAGAAAGCCATTTAGATAACCAAATGATAATCTTCTCTGTCCTATAGCATTGCAAGAGAGTCACTTAAAGGACACTGTTTGGAAAGAAGAACAAAGTTGAATTGTTCTTGTTCAGGCAGTATTGTTGGATTAATTTTTTTTTCCTGAATGTGAAGAGTATGGCCTGGTGTAGTGAACAAGGGCATGGTATGAAGTGTAGAAAAGACAATCAGATAGTTCAGAAAAAAATTTTTTTGATCCATATTTTCAATAGTAAAAATGCAGTAGGATCAAAAATTCATATTGTTCACTTTACTGGACTTCTGTAAAGCATGATGTAAGTATGGTAATGGGTGATGCAACTTCCATGACTCTATAGTTAAGCAGTGTCCCATTTGCTGGATGATTGCCATCAGTGCTTGTATTGCTCTGGAAAAAGAGCAGAATATATTTTAAAGTCTGTCCTCTTAATGTCACCAAGAGTTGTCAAAATTTGGGAGGCCAGTTAGGATAATTAAATAGCTTATTCACTGTTCTTTCCATTATGCTTCTGTCTGTTAGAATTGAGAGATCCTAAGACAGGCAGTCAGATTGTGTTGTGATGCTGTGCTTTAACATTTCATGAAATAAAAGGTGTTAGCTGAGCTGTAATCACATGCTTTTATACATTCCACAGGTACTATTTAATTTAGATTAAATCAATCACAACTTTGCCCTTCTTAACCAGCAGCTATATTAATAATAATTTCTGCTAAGTTCCAGTTTTGAGAAGGTGATGAAGAAACAGAAGAAATGCAAATAAATTTACATTTTCATCCTATTTAACTCAATGTGGGTTTTTTAATTCTGCTATGTGAATTTGTTTTCTGTAGTGCATTTGTGTGTTTGTTTAGGAAAAATTGTTTTCTATAAGCTTTCATGTCAGTGCCTTATTCTGAACAATACTGCTGGAACCTTTAGGGGACAGTCAGTTGAAGTGAGTTTCCAAGCACTACTCCTGGTTTATGTTCAAAACCAAATATCAGCTCAATGGTCAGAACCCTGGATCTCTCTTAAAAGAAGGAATGTGGTTTTGTGATTCCTCTCCATGTCCATGCACACTTAGTGAGGCAAGGTACACTTTTCGTAGCTGGTGTTTCCAACACCTTGAGAAAGGTACAGGAAGAAATTAAATACATGTGGTAAGTATATGGTAGGATTTTATAAAATTTTAAGTAACCCAAAGAAGAGTAGTGCCTTGTCATTGGCTGCACCAGTTTCAGAACTGGTAAATACCAGGTGAAACTCATATGTGATGGGTTTAAGAAGAATGAAGATGCTTTTTCAAACAGCTTTAAGTTAACCACTGCTTGTAGGATATTGTGGACACTAATGTGACCTTGGATTCAAGGAGTAAGTAGATTAATTCATGGAAGAAAAATGTGTCCATCGCTATTGTGACTTCTTGTTCAGGAAGTTCATAAGCCACAAATTGCTTGGAGGTTGGCAGAATATTATGGGGTATGTACCACTACATGCTTGACCTGTTTGTTTGGTGTTCTCCAGCATCTGCTACTGGCTGCTGTTGGAAATGAAATGGTGCAGTACTATGGTCTTTAGTTTGACTCAAAGTAGGTGTTCTTGTGTTTTTATTTGAAGGCAGACTAAATCTTTCTTTAGCATAAAGGAGAGTATTTTAGGAGGAGCTCAAAGATCTGCCCTGGGAATCCTTCCAGAATTCTTACAATACTGCAAAAGAGAAGTTTTTACATTTGGGTGCCTTTTTTAGTTTGGTTCTTTTAAGGCTTTCTTTGTGAAATTTAAAGGGCAAAGATAAAAAAGGTGAGTTTGGAGAGTGGTGGTTCTTCTTTGTTTCCCTGTCCTATGCAACAGGCAGAAAGCAGAAAGATCAGTGGGGTGCCCAAGATCAGTGTAGAATATAACAGAGTTCATACAAAGAGGTCCAAGCAGACTACCCAGAAGCTCAGTGGAAGTCGTGGAGCATGTACATTTTTCATTGTCCCTCACTTATCCTTGAGGCAGGAAAAGTACCACTTTGCACAACATGCAAAGGACATGCAGACTTAACTTGAGTCCTCTAATTTTGGGCTGAGTCAATGCCACCATCCTCCCAAAGCAAGCAAGGAGAAAAGGTCATTGCTCTCAGTGAAGTGAGAATACGTGATGAAATGATGAAGAGGTTACACCACATACTTTCCTTCCATAAGCTGCTTTCCTGTGCCATCACAGCTGCTGGCAAAGCACAGTAACTGGGATTTGTGCATGCCTCAACACATGCACACACCTTCTGTTGGGATCATTTGTTTCCAGTAGTTCTAATTGGAAATAAATTTTAATCTGTTCTAATTGGAAACAAGTTTTAATTTTATGTCAGCAGTTCTCTCTATCAATAACAGGAAGTTCAGGATGAAGTAATTCCAGTCTCCTTTCTGTGCAGATTCTTCTGCCTTCCTTTAAAAAATTTGAAGGAGAAGGTCCCAAAATAGCTAATGTTTCCCTCTCAAACAAACACCCCAAAATTATCTGCTTTCTGACACTCTTTTCAATCTTATTTGTAATGCAAATTTGCCTCTGCTTGGGAACTTTCCTTATTACTGTTTTAGCAAAAAGTTCCCCAAAGTAAATTGTTTAATTTATAGAGAGAGAGTGTGAAAAGCTCTTGTGGGATGAGTTCATGCCAGTCTCCAAGCAAACTGCTGGGGGCTGGTGCTTTGGGCAAGGTGCTTCACACAACCACCAGTGATCCCAGGGGCCTGCTGTGGCTCTTGGGAGCGAGGGTTCCTGCCAAACTGTGTTAGAGAAGAATAAAATCACTTAGACTAGGCTTAGGTGCATCAGGCTCAGCCTTGAATATAGTGGATGTAGAGAGTATTGTGAATGCCTGTGGTTAATACAGAGACAATTCAGGAATGGGAAACTATGCAAAGTACACTTTAATTTTTTATGTAGTAACCAGTAACATGCTGTTATTTGAGCTGATGCTTGTGACAGAGTTTGGGGTGGTTTTTTTTGTAAACTGGGTAATTACATTTTTATTTAAATAAAAATTTTACATTAGCATCTAACAGTATTTCAAATATTTTTATGAGCTCTTTGGAAACAGGAATACCTTTCTCCTCCTGGAGACTGTCTTTAAAAACAAACCTATGTAGCAATACCCAAGTCCTTGCTTAGTTGTAATTTGACTTGTTCAAATTGAGATGTAACACATTGTCTCAGGTATTTTGATTCAAAAAGCAGTTGTACTGTTTGAAACAAGTACATTCTGCTTGACAAGGACTGAGAGAGGTTTCTTTATTATAAAATAAGTAAATGTTTGGATTTTTTTTTGTCAGAACTCAGTATTGTTAAGTTTATTAGTTTATTGTAATACTTATTTCAGTCTATTAATATAACATCCTTAGTTCTTGCAGTCTTTCCTAGCTTGTTATAAAACAACTTTGCTATGTTCACTTGGCCTGTTCTGTAATGCAGGTGTTGCAAGTAGTGATTTTTATGTAAGTTCCTGTACTATGGGATAATCATGTTCCAAGAGGGAGCTAGAGAGCTATGAAATAATAAACCCCCAGGAGCTGTCTGTAACCCACTGTTTCTCAGATGAATGAAAGTAACTGATGTAAATGTTTTTCCCATTTCAACTTTGTTTTTCAGGTGTCTATTGATGGAAATGACAGTGTTAGTAGCACAGGAATTATAGGTGAAAATGAACAAGATAAAAAAATGCAGGTATGTGCTTAATACAAAATAATTAAATATATTTATTTCTTTTGTCTTTTCTGCCCAGCAAAGTGCATGATAGGGAGTTCTGTAGCCATGAACTGTGGTTTGCTTCTACCCTTCAGAAACTGTAGATTACAGTATCTCACTCTGTACAAGATCATGTCATAAGAGTTGTAAAAGATCTTCTAATACTTACTGTTGTCTAGGGGATTTTCCTGTTAAAAGGTAATTAAAAATTATGTTGGCTTTCTAAGATTTTTCAAGCTGACCTGAGTATTTCTTCAATAAGAGTGTAAATATTTCAGAAGTTATTTCCAGAGAACGAGCTGAGTTTTAATAGTATTTAAAGCAGAAAAATGCTGTCTCAGTTAATAAAATTCTTCTAGGAGAGACCACTCCAGGCATAGGTCTGGAACTGTTCTCTCTTAACTTATTTTGATTCCACTTGCCCTGTTAGGGTCCCTGACCTTTATAGCAGGTTTTATAAGTAATCAATAGTTAAGAGTATTGTTCCTAGAGAATGCTTAAAGAACAGAAAAATACTTCAATTTCTTCTTCTGGATCCATATTGTTACTACACAGAAATGCAAAAACCTTTAAATGTTAGAAGATTAATTTAAAAGTTCAAAGGGTAATGGAAAATACAGGTGTGACTTACTAAGTCTCAAGCTTTTTTCCCTAGGATCCATACAATTATGTAAGGAGAATGGTATTTGGCATTATAATGTATTTTATTAAAGGAAAAGACAAAGAAAAATGTATTCTGGGCTTAATCCTAAAATAATACAAAAACTTCTGTATGCTCACATGTTCAGATGACAAAATCAAAAATGGAAAAGTCATTGCATTGAGAATGGGGCTTCTCTGGGCAAACCTTTTCTCCTTTTTGCGTAATTTAAGAAATAATGAAGTAGACAAGGAGGAAAGATGTCTTCTTCCAAGATCAAAATACATCATCTGTGAAAGGATAATTATAGACTCACCTCTCACAGTTAGCTCAGATTTTCTATTTTTAATCTTTTACAAGTTAGATCCCACAATATTTAAAGCTGTAGACACTTTACCTTTGCCTGTGTGGAATGACTGTGGAAGGAGAGAATTAACTAATACTTGCATTATTTACTGTACTGGACCATGTTCCAGAAAATGAAATTAAGAAATTCAGAGGATTTGCACTTGTAGGCTGGAATAGGGATACAACTCCAATGAAAGGCAAAATTCAAGGAAGTGTAAGATAAAATCTTTGTTGGTTTTACCTGAAATAAGAACCTATTAAGCAAAATTACCTGTAATCAGTATCCACCTAAATATTGATTTTGGCCTCAGCCCCAAAGCAAACTGAATGTGGTGGTTTTATCTTATACATATATGGTAACATATGTGCAGTATGGAAATGTGCCAATCTTATGGAGCACTGCATGTTCCAAACAAAACAAGATCTGATATTTCAAAAAGGTAGTGAGGCTTAGTCTCAAATTCTGACCCTTATAAGGTGATTACAGTTGGCCTTCAGTTGAAGGGGCCCACAGCTATCAGTTCTGTATGAAAATAGAAATAATTCTTAAATCTTGATTTAAGTAGATATCTACTTGTAACTCATTCTGTATTCATATGTATTAATATATAATATATAAAATAGTCTTATATTTAGATGTAGAATTAAATAGGTGTATATTTATAAACTTTTTAAGTCCACAGGGAACAGAACAGATGTCACACTGCTAAGCAGTCACTCAGACTTGCATGTGGTTAGTTAGGTGTTTCAACAAAGAAAAAAAGCATAAAACCTCTTTGTGATTTCTACATGGAAAAACAAAAGAGTCTGTGTGCCCAAATGGATATCTCACTATTTCCTTTCAAACCTGTCTACCCGTCTGTTCATAATACACACTCTGGTTATATGATTCTGCTTTTATGTGTGCAGTAGAAAAATCTGATCCAAGATCTTTGTTTTTCTCCTGTGTTACCTCTCTGAGATCAGGATGCATTTGTGATCTCTTAAAAAAATAGGGAGGTTAAATTTTATTTATTTATTTATTCTGTTTAAAAGTATTTGAAGTACACAGTTCCTCTCAGTAAGTTCCATATTGTTAGAAAGGTGCTTCCTCCCCAGTTTTTGTATCCATCTTAATATTGGTAGGATTATGGCTGGTTATTTCTTTGCAGGTATTAGCACATTACAGAATTGTTTTCATTTTCTTTGCAGCTTTGGCATACTTGAGCTTTATGGCAAAACCTAGCAAGTATACAATATTAATATTAATTTATATTAATATTTTTATATGCTGGAACAACAAAGAAATAGTAATAGGTTGCTGACACAAATAGGTAGAATAGTAGTAGGTTTACTGATAGAAAAAAAAAAATAGTGCTTCAGTACAGGTGCTCAACCAACTGTATTCTTCATGATCCTTAATGTACTGAAGTGGTTTCTGTGATTCATGCTGTCCTAGGTTAAACAGTAGTATCAGTAATGGTTTCTTGATCCAGGAGGTCGTTTTTCTCTGTGGTTCCAGAGATTTTCTGAAGTGATGGATTTGAACATTTCAGGTGATTAAAAACTTTGTATTGAACTTTGCTTTTTTAGTCTTACAAAGAGTCTGAAGGTAATGGGTTATTCCATCCTCTTGAAGAATCTGTAGGAAAGGTGTTAGCAGTCAAATTTGTGATTTCTCTGAAAGAGGAAACAAAGGTCTGTGTGCTGTTGCAGGGCTGCAGTCTCCGTGGTGTAGGGAGCTGTGGTGGGAGGGCTCAGATGGCTGAAGTGCTGTGGTGATGGATCCAGGCTCTTTAAAAGGGCCAGGTGGGGAAGGAGGGCAGTGGGAGCTGCAGGACTGCACAGGGCTTTGGCATGGGAGATGGCTCAGACCAGTGTGGGTCTGAGGTGGTGACTGTACACAAGGTCATGATCAGGAAGAAGATGAAGCCTTCTTCAGACAACAGGAGCAAGCCTCGTGCTCACAGGCCCACATCCTCATGGGGAATTTTAACATCCTCAGTGTCTGCAGAAGGGCATCACAAGAGGGCACATGAGAAACATTCTGGAGTTCAGGGATGGCAACAGGCAATCTGAGCAGGTACTGAGAAAAGTGAGCCACTTTGCAAAGCCTCAGTTGCCAAAAGAATTAGTTGGGAATGTGAACTTTGGGAGCAGACTCCAGGAGTCTCCATCCTTAGAGATATTCAGAACCCATTTGGATATGAGCAACCTGCTGCAGCTGACACTATTTTATGCTGAGAGTATTGTCTCCTCATCCATCCTGTGAAATGTTCTTTTGACAGTTTGGAATAGAATGGGATCTGTAACAAAAGGGGGTGATTTGAAAGGACAGACTGTATAAAACAGTTTCGATTGCTTTGCACAGAGCTGTATGGAAGTGCTGATGTTTGGGCTGCTGCCTCTGTGTTCTGTCTGTATGAAGGTCAGGTTTTTTTCACGTTTCTTGCATATCAGTGTCTGAAGGAGCCTGTACAAGGGGTTTCAGCTGTGCTGTTCATTTTTCTGTTGTCATGCCACAAGGGAGAGTAGGACCTAACTCACAATGCTCCAATTAGCATGATCAAAATACATGCATGGCAGACAAAGTACAAAATGCTTTCCTTCATTTTTAAAAAATTCTCATTCTATAGATATTTAATTAATGTTTGGCCTTTCCATGAACTTACATATGAAGGTGGTCTGATTTATACTAATTTCTCTTAGGAACAGATCTAGCACCTCAGATATAATCTAACATTTGTCTGTCTCCTAATTTGGTCATTTTACCACTGTGATTATAAATCATTTGTCTTTGTTATTTGACTATTTTTATATTTGCTAGGTACAAGTGTAAACGTATTTTACAGTTTCCATCATGATTTTCAGTTATTTGTTTTTAGTTTATTTATTGAGGACTCAGAAATACATGGCATAGCAAAGCAAAGAGAAACAAAAGAAACTGTCAGAATAAGCTCTGGCTTGATAGCAAAATGAAGTGTGTAACTTCTCTGATCCATTTTGGTTTTTTTTAGTATGTGGTTCGGGTTTTTAAAATTCTTTTTCTCTTCCACTTAAGATTGTCTTGCAAGGACATGGAACAAGAGTGACTGCAAAGTCTCAACAGACTGGAGAGAAAGCCTTTCGCTGTGATTATGATGGCTGTGGAAAACTGTACACAACAGCTCATCATCTTAAGGTGATGAGATGTAAAATGTGCTTTGCTACTTTGTAGATATGATCTTTTTGGAAAGATTATGTGGTTAAAAGTAATAGAAATTGAGAGGGAGCCAGTTGCAATGGGGCTGTTTTGAATTGATTTTACAGTAATTGGTGGCACTCAGCTGAGTTTACTTAACCTTCTGGGATTGTGTTCAGCTGCTATATTGCCAGCATGGTGAGGTTGTTCCCACCAGCAGTGTCACAGAAATTCTGGAATCCAGTATTTGCTTTATTAACTTTACATGTATGCATGATCATGCAAAAATTCCAGATTTTGAAATATTTCACCATCATTGTACAAAGTGAGACTCTTGAAAACTTAATATTCAAAGTGAAAATCTGGCCCATCTTTTCTTCACAGATGGCAACCTCTTAATTCTCTTCCTTTTTGTAAATTAAGTAAAGGAATTACTGAAATGGTAAATGGTATAGGGCTGCTCACGTTCCAGCTGAGGCTGGCACAATGCCTTGCTGATGAGGTAACCTGCTCACAGTGCTGCTTTGTCTCTAACCACAGGAGTCAGTGAGTGGCTGGCTTTGAGTTACTTGCTAAAATGATGTCCTTGCTGTAGAGGTTTCATGCAATACAAGAGCATCATTGGAAGCATTCAGTAGAGTAAAAAATCAGGTAGAAAGTGGGCTCTGAGGCATATTTACCTCCTGTCTTTAATGTCGTGTATGATGGCAACTCTGCATGTACTTACAGCAGTGTTTTGTGCCAAACTGACTGACAGGATCAGGTTAGACCTTGCAAAGAGACATCTTTAGTTTTAGGGAAAATGTTGTCACCATATTTCATTATTTTTTCATCACTGATATAAACAGACACTTCAGTGTGAATCTTGGTAAGATAAATAAAATATGTTGGCTTTGAGAATGAACTGTTTCTGTGCTGAAGTAACCAGATACCGCATTTCATTAAGTCAATGTATGGATGTCAACAGGTGCATGAAAGGTCTCACACAGGAGACAGACCATACCAGTGTGAACATCCTGGATGTGGCAAAGCCTTTGCAACAGGTACTCTTGTGCAGACTAGCTCCTCCTGCTTGTTAGTGTTTGTCTGTGAATAAAGTAAGTTTTAATATTGCCTTTTTTCACTACTAAGTTGGTTGGGATGAGTGGGGAAAAAAGTCTCCTTTTCAGCTAGTGTAGCAATGGAAAGGACAGAGGATTTAACTCTTATTGGAGGGGGTAGGAGGTGAAGCACTCAACACTTCCCTCTTCATCTGACATCTACAGTCAAATTAAATGTTAAAAAATAGGCCTTTCTTACCATTAAACTAATAGCAAAAGTTAAATGAGGTGATAATAGAAAGCTGAACCTGTAGACTAGGGGCAGATTCCTGATCTGGTCTAAATTTGAAAGGAACTTTTATGGAAGATGCTGGTTTAAGTGTTCCTTATTGAATTTCTATCAGAGTGACATCTGTCATTAAGGGAACTCTCCATTTGGACAGATTATTCTGCTCATAATGATGCTCTCCCTGAGACTGAATTTGATTGTGCAAAATACAATTATGAAGAATGAAACATGGAAGAAAGTGGAAGAGCAAACCTTGTTTCAAATTTCATTCTTTTACTTGGAATGTAAATTAGTATCATGCATAGAGAAGTTAGGCTCTGTGGTTTTTTTTAAATAAGGTATTTTGGAAATAGCTTCATCTAATCTAATACATTTGCTACAATTGCTTTGGATAGAAATGAGCAAAATAAATACTGATGCAAAAAGTCAAAAGGTAAACAACCACACTTTTAAAGGGTTGCACCTAAGTTTAATTGCATAGTGTTTGTAAAGGGATTTCAAAACTATGTAATTAAATACTCTCTTCCTTTGCAACACACTGATGTATGGCTATAAACACCTGTTTGTTTATAAATACTGTATTTTTGATCAGAGCCATTGTACTATTGTAGTTCAACAATCCTTGCCTTGGACAAAGTTAAGTACTTTAAGTACTGAGTACTCCTTGGTTTAAATGCTAAGAACTCTCCTGGGTTGGGTCATGAAATTGAGTTTATTTTAGATGTAAATGTGAATTAATGCTCAGCTTCGTTAACATACTTCATGCTTTTAAAAACATCAAGAACAGGAATTTCAGCTGTTTTGGGGAGAACTCACTGAAATTAAAGCAGATGTCATTTTCTTACAGACTTTATTTTGTACAAATTTATGCATCACTTGTGGATACAAGTGAAATTCAGGTTCATTTTCTAAAATGGATGTTTCAGGCTTCTTTAGTCATTATCTTTTCATGGAAGTGCTGAAAGGAAAATCTTGGTTAAATGCTCATTGCAAAATAATTTATAGAGGGCCTGATGCAAAGTTCACTTTAGACTGGTAGAGTTTTTGATGATGATGGGTTCCTAAAAGTAATCTTAAAGAGAATGAGTGTTTAGGACTGCTCTTGGTTAGCATCTGTATATGTGCTTTTACTGCTGACTTCATTTGTGGTTATTGCTTTTCCTGTGAGCAAATAATTAAATGTCAATTTAATGACAGTAGTGGTAAAAGTTAAAAACTAGATGGAATGCAGAGTGTATGGCTTCTTCAGAAGGCAGAATTAATATTTGTCCACATAATTGCAGTTTATCCTTCTGAAGGGAAGGAGAAGTATGGAAATAAATAAAATAATTTTTTAAAAAATCAAGGAATGAACGAGTACATTTTACTCCTCAACATTCCTGACTGGAGTGGCAAGCCCAGCTTTTGCTGATGATGGTTGATGAGTATCCTGATTTAGTGCTGGTGCCATGCTAACATCCTTTCTGCTCCCAGGGTACGGGTTAAAAAGCCACGTGCGCACACACACCGGGGAGAAGCCCTATCGGTGCACAGAGGAGAACTGCACCAAATCCTTCAAGACTTCTGGAGACCTGCAGAAGCACATTCGGACCCACACAGGTACCAGCAGCACACATTTTTGTTAATTCACTAGGTGGATCTTTAGTTTTTTGTCTTTCCTCATTCTGTGACTTTACACTGACAAAATCAGCCTGTGTATATTCTCTTTCTGAAGCCCAGTGAGCTCAGCAGCATTTCAGCATGGTAAGCATTAAATCCAGCATGCTTTTCTTGGAAAAAGAGCTAAAGCATTCACACTGCTATTGCAAATGCACTAACTTTTAGCAGTGCCTCACTTACATTGTCATTGAGTCACTCATTGCCTTTACAGTTTCATCTGCAGCTGTAATAGAACAAGGAACTTTTCCTCAATAATCTGTCTTGTCTTTTGGAAATGGCTTCAGTGTTCCTCAGTTTTGGTGCTTTAATATAACTCGCATGCCAGCTTCATGAAGGTTGATATTCTGAGCTTGTTATCCTCATTTCCCATCTCTTCTTCCAGCAGAAAAACAAAAATGTCATAGAAAACCAACAGCTACCAAAATTTGCAAAGGCATAAATAATAAAATCTTACATTTTGTCTAAAACATTAAATTGAAAGCCAAACCACAAATTCTAGACAGCACATGCTGCACCCTGCAAAACTCTGTGGATGCACACACATGTAAACAAGACTGCACAATGTCTCCTTTGTGCCTGTGATCTTCAAGAAAAACAACCCCTAAATGTAGGAAGAACAATCTATCACTAACCTATTCCATTAAATATATTTATGTCCCTGCTAGAACACTGACAAGCTTTTCCACTGACCTGTCTGAATGTTTGTGAGTCAAGAAGAAAAAATAAAAAGTAGGGAGGGATTTGGATTTTTTTCAAAATAAAAAATATGGGGGGTGGTATGTAAATATAGGCAATAAAAATTGTAAAACCGCAGGATTACCTTAAGTTATTTCTGCTTTTTTGGACTTCCATACACAAAAAAAATTCTGTTGGGATTAATGCTGTCTTGATTTTTAAACATCAGTGTGAACACGTATCATCTCAGCTCTGGGAGAGGACTGTTGATATGCATTGCATCAAGTACAGACTATGAACTTATGAAAGGTTTCTTATCTGTGGACTGGTTTTTTTTTTTCCCTTTGTTATGGCCACAGAAAGTGTGTGGTAATTTAATCTCTGTTTAGCAGTTGAGACAAAAGATTTGAGCCAGCCCTATGTAACCTACCCACCTGAGCAATATGAGTAATAGAATCATAATCTCCCAGCAGACCAGGAGCCAGAGGTGTCTCATTTTAGATTTAGGAGTGTTTCCAGGCAGCTAAATGAGAAGAAAAGTGCAGCACCCGCTTTGTGCAGGTGGATGGAGCAGCTCACGCCTTGTGCAAGCTGCAGCAGGGCAGGAGGCAGGTCTGGGCTCTCCCGCTCCCTCCCACGGCTCAGAAACCTTTCCCTTACTGCAGGAGGTACATCGGGGTCAGCACTTTCTTCACTTTCTGCTTGTTTTAACCAGAAGTGACTTCTCCCCCTCTGTGAGTAGAGTCAGGTCTTGCTTATAGTGCCATCAAATGCTTGCCTTGGCTTTCGCCATGACACAGCTCTGGGATCGGGAGCGCTGCTGTGGACGGCGCCTCGTGCTGCAGCGGGGTGGAGCTCAAGGCTTTGGATTTCTGGAGCTGGAATTCGCTGTCACCTGGAAACGGGTCGCTTTGCTAGGAAATACATTAGCATTTGAAAAGGCCCCCTCGGGGACCGGTCTGGTGACATTCCTGCAGGAATTGTTTCAGAGGATGTGTCCTGTTTCTAGCGCAGGCTCTGTTGCTGGGTGGGGCTGGCTCTGCTGCTTTCCGACGTGTTTGGGGTCCTGGCTGAAGCAAGGATTAGGGGAGCCATGGTAACACAACACTGAGGTGTACGGGGAATACACACTGCCTGGGCAGGAAGTTGGAAAACCTTCCCAAAACAGCTGCCCGAAGGAGTGAATAGTAGTTTCTTCTGCCAAGGAGCTAACTGCTTTGGAGTTTCGTGGTATTACTCTCTATCAGGACTTGTTCTTTTAAAGTACCTATTGTATCTGTAGTGGTGGTCTGCTCTCGCTCTCAGATTCTGCTCTTTGGTAAGCAGCACAGTGTGTGGAGTGTACTTGGCTCTAGAAGTGGGAAATTACCCCAGAACAGCCTGTCAGTGGGTCGAAGGTCTCCAAATTTAACCCCCCTTGTTCTCCTTCCCTGTGTGCTTTGATGGATCTGAAAGGTCAGGGTTACTGGAGTATTATTGCTTGGCCTTGTCTGCTATTCACAGTTAAATGCTTTGGTGCAGTGATGTAAATTGTTGTGCTTAAACTTGTATTACACGAAAAGACTTACTCTAGAAGAACCTGTATTTGTGATTTGCTTTGCTCTGGGGTTTGAAACTTGAGTTTCATGGCTGCTTCTCTTTAGAAAGTTTGTTCTTTTTTAAGGTTAAGTGCTTTCTATAACAAGTTTTACTAATCCATGTTTATCCTGGTTATATGTTAAATCATGAAGGTGTTTTTTTCATTTGAAGAATTAACAATTGTCAAATGTCAATGGTATGATACACTTGGTTTGGGTAATATATGTATGAATTGGGGAGGTTTAAATAGTTGCTGGATTATGGGCAGTGTGCAAGCTAATCCAAGCAACTGGGTCTGTTCTATACATGTTAAAATATTAATCTAAATGCTTTATAATTTAGCTTACAGACTGTATGATTTTCCTGAATTTTGTTCATTTTGGCTAAACAAGAACACTCCACAGTGGCGTGTTCATGGTATTTCTGATTGAGGATCCCAAAGATAAAATTAGGTAGCTTTAGGTTCCTACATTAACTCTTAAGTGTAATTTAGGATTTTAATTCTTTTGTAACCTTTGCGTGTGAACCTTTTATTGTCTTCTTTTTCAGGTGAAAGGCCTTTTAAGTGTCCCTTTGAAGGATGTGGCAGGTCATTCACAACATCTAATATCAGAAAGGTTCACATCAGGACACACACAGGAGAAAGGCCTTATTACTGTACAGAGCCAGGATGTGGGAGAGCTTTTGCCAGTGCAACTAATTATAAGAATCATGTGAGAATACACACAGGTATATGAGTGATTTATTGTATTTTGAAGTGGAGTCTGCTTGGGAGAGGCTGTGTCATTCTCCTTGTGAACAATGTTTTGGTGTGTTGTAATTGGCTATAGTCATGTTTATATGACTTGGCTTGGTAATCTGTTTGGGCCTCCTCTCCCCTCAGCTGAGGATATTTAAGCAGTTAGATTTCCCATCTTGCTGTCAAGGCAGAATAATTTTGGTTTGGATACAAAGTGTTTTAAACTGGACATTGGGCTGAATCCTTAATATTATTCTGGGGTTTGTGTCCCTTGTGAGCTGTTTCTTAAATAAATACCAGTAAAGGACACATCTGAGCTTAACTTTGGCTCACTGTTATGAGTCACCCTTTCATCCCAGCTGTATTTTCCTTGTTGCTGGAAGTGTGGTCAGAACTTCATTTTTTATAGACTAGATGTGAAAATACTTATCTAGTGAGCAGAATACTTATTTAGTGAGCAGAAATAATAAACTCAAATTTGAAGATTCTAAAATGTAAAAGCCAGTGATAGCCGTATCAGCTTGGTAGCATTATGTATTTCATAGAACCACAGACAAGATTTATAGAGCAACGTTTTGTATCTTAGTTTATATTTTTAGTTTACAATGTAATTTGGACACTTGTTCCATTGATTTTTAAATGGAAGGGTGCCATAATTGTTTATACACATGCTTCCTATGGATCTCTTCAGAGCTTTCAATACTCAAAAGTGATACTAGTCAATCAATATCATTGAGGAAAACTATGGGGCTTCCAGTAATAAAATAACAAAATTCTCAGTACAATGACAAACTGAAATGGCAGCTTTCAGCCTGTATCATTCTGCCTTCATCAGAAGGATGTTTTAGATGGAATGATAGGGAGAAAAATGGGCCGGCAGTAATTCTTAAAGACAGTAAGATGTTGCACTGATAAACTCTGTGAGGTTGAGCTTCTCTGTTGCCTTTGAAATTAAAGTATGGTTGGTAAGGAAGGTTTGTCCCCAAATATCATTTGCTGGCAATTTTTCCTGTGCATCCTGAATAAAGTTCTCTTTGTACCTTTTGTTTTCCCATGCAGGGGAGAAGCCCTATGTGTGTACAGTCCCTGGCTGTGACAAACGTTTCACAGAGTATTCCAGTTTATACAAACATCATGTTGTACATACTCATTCCAAACCATACAACTGCAATCACTGCGGGAAGACCTACAAGCAGATCTCTACCCTTGCTATGCACAAACGGACAGCACACAACGACACAGAGCCCATTGAGGAAGAACAAGAGGCTTTCTTTGAGCCATCTCCAGGTTAGAATTGCAGCCTTTGAATCTCCAGGTGTAAAAAAAAAAAAGAGCTAGATGGGGGATTTTGATAGCCAAGGAAAATAAAACAGTTAAAAATTTAAAGTACTTAATAAAGATTTCTTAATTTCTCTGTAAGACTTTCTAGGGTGGTAGGCAACCTGTAACCAGAAATTGCATGATATCTGGCCAGATAATAAATTCATTTATAGCAGTCATGGAGAGAAATTTGAGTTGCAGTCTCAGCAAACCTGCTAAAAACATGAATGTGGGCAAGGGACCAGAGAGACTCTCAGCTGATTACAACTTACTGGACTTTTGTTAGAGATTTTTCAAAGGGTGGGTATATGGCTGGTGACAATCTTTTGTGTGGGAGTAGAGGCTCTGCCTTGAGAAAAAAAATCTGGTTTTGCAGTACAGTGATATGGGCTGGTTTTGCTGTGGTTTAGAGCAGTTTCTGTAAACTGTCCTAGAGGCAGATATGAAAAGGAGCTGCTGTGCTGCAGTCCTCCTCACAGTTTGCTGTTCATGGTATGATGAGTATTGAATCCTATGAGTATAAAGGATCAGAATGAAGGAAATACTGTGGAAGGACGAACACCACTTGTCAAATTGTGATTTTTGGATGTGCCTGAAGATGGGAAATATCTGCACAAACTGTTTTGGTTAAAGTTGTTTTGCTACATGTTCATGGGAAACTGCACTCAATGCCTTCAGCAGACTTACTATAGCTTAATTCCTTCTTTTAAAGGAATGATAACATTCATTTGCTGAGGTTAAGCATTTATCAAGATAATGAATTTAGTTAAATCTTCACACAAAGGCATGTCGCTATGTTCTTCTGTATGTTTGTTAATTAATAACATTTAAAAAATCCAGTTGTGTTTGCATGGAATCCCTTGCATGGAGAGGTTAGCATTTAATAAATAAATTAGAATGTCTATCACATTTTAATATTTGCTTACAAACTAAATGTATATGTAGTATTTATGTGTCTTTAAACTCATTGCTAGAAGACTATACCCCATGTTCCCAAAATAAGACTTTCTGACTTGCGTCTGGTATCTTTCCTTCTTTATTTTTCTCCTAAATATCTTTCCACTAAATTTTTCTGTTTGAGTGTTTAAAGGCTTCAGGCAAAACTGGGACTTAATCCTTGTCATTTGCTCTCCTGGGAGCATTTAGAGTATGAAAAGTATCCTCTTGCCTTCTTTGTGTCCAATAGGTCAAGGTGAAGATGTGCTCAAAGGCTCCCAGATCACCTACGTGACAGGTGTAGAGGCAGAAGATGTCATTTCTGCACAGGTTGCTACAGTTACTCAGTCAGGATTAGGCCAACAAGTAGCACTAATATCCCAGGATGGAACCCAACATGTAAGTAACTGCAGTGTCAGGTTCTGACAAAACCATGCTGAGAATTGAGGCATGGGTTTGCAGCTTCTCCATGGGCTCTCTGAAATCACATAGGGTTCTTGATAAATGTTGGTGGAAAGAAGCTTCTTTGGAGCTGTGTCAGGATATCTTTAGGGTTGTGCCTCCTTTGCAATACCTAAATGAGACCACATATTCTGTCACATGAAACTGTAAAAGTTTCCAAAGTTAGGAGATTAGTCTCTCCTTGTTATCTTTGTCACTCTGAAAAGGGCTGCTTATATATACAGCCTGTTTCTGAGATTTCTCACAATTCCCAGATTGTGCTATTAATATCTGCTGGGCATCTTCACTGTCTTGTCTGCACAAACTCTGGGGGGTTGAGGGGTGGGAAGTCTTTTCAGTCCAGGTGCTTCCTTTACAAGCAGTTTGGTTGGTAGTGTGCAGTTTCTAACTTAAACTAAAGAATAAGGAATCCTTTGATACCATTTTCCACTTGAACATTCCTATGGCTGTCTTTTTTTTAAGGTTACATGGATACATATTTTTAAGGAATTCATATGAAATTTCTTTGGAAAGGGATTTCAACACAACTCTTTCAATTCACTGCAGCAGTATCTTGAAGGCTATGGGGAAAAAAATCTGTATATCAGCTGGCAGGGCAGCTGAAACACCAGTAACATATGAAAAATATATTCTGAATTCAGAAATAAAATATCCAAGGGGCCTGTTACATTACCAGGACATTGGACATTGCAGTAATACTAAGTAACTGGCATTTTTACCCTCTAAAATGAAGGCCTGCAGAAGCCTTGACATAGAATTCTTACATTTAAATTATCTTTCAGCTTGACTTCAGTTCTGGGATTTATTACCTTGTAAATCAGACATCCAATGATCCTAATACATTTATACTGGAGACATCAGTAATTTATATCATTAATTTGTTATGGATTGTTTATTTGTGGCTTAAATTCTAAGCCCTCATAGGGCTTTTTAGTATTTCCATCAAGATCAAAGTAAGGTGGTACAACCTTAAATCCCATTGACCTCTGTGGATGACACATGCATAGATAATCTGTTATGTGTTATTTGGGGTACACTGTGATTAACATGGAGTTGTAGGCTCTGGGATTAGGTGTGCAACTCCTCCTCCTGCTGAGAGCCATATTCCTTTGTGTAAACAGGTCAGTTATCTGTAGGGTCATGAGCTGGTAGATGCCAGTCAGCGAGGCAGATGGAATGAGGGCTGTGGCTTGAGCAGCAGTCAGCCCCTTCCGTGTGTTGCAGGTGAACATATCCCAGGCAGACATGCAGGCCATCGGCAACACCATCACCATGGTGACGCAAGATGGCACCACCATCACAGTTCCTGCCCACGACGCCGTCATCTCCTCGGCCGGAACGCACTCGGTGGCCATGGTCACTGCAGAGGGCACCGAGGGACAGCAGGTGAGACACTTTCCTGCACACCTGGGTCATGTCCCTTCAGGAGCTGCTGTCAAATGGGCCCCTGAGCCATCACCCTCCTGTCACTGATGTAATTCACCTCAGCAAAGCAGTTTCCAGCATTGGGCCAACACATTCCCTTCCTAAGTGCTTGATGTGTTCTACCCACTGCTGCACATCAGCAGGTGGTGGAATGTTTTAAAAACAAGTGAGCACCAAGAAAAAAATCTCAGGTACCAGTACAATGATTCATTTAGGTGTCTGTAAAATAACACCTAGAAATGCCAAGCTTTTTTCCCAAAGTCACACAGTAAATGTGTGACAGAACTAAGTATAAAATCCAGTATGAACTATAATTTCTTTGGTCAGTATTATGGGACTGTAATTTATTTGGCAGATGGGAAACATTTGTGTAAGTCTGTATCTGTGGGTTGGTTTTCAATGTACAGATAAAACAGGTAACTTTTTAATAGAAATATTATGCTATCTTTAACTTAAAATTCATTCTATGTTCTAAAATTGCACCACATGAAAATGAAGATAAATAACTATCTCTGTGTATATAATCACAGATCTGTAAGTGCATTTATTGAATTTCTGCAGTCCTGAGGATATTTATATTTTAAGAGCTAGTAGTTAATTTGGAGAACAGAATTATGGCAACTTTTCTTCTGCACAATACAATTATGCTCCTGAGTTCCCAGCTTTGACTGTAACTGTGAAGGCAGTGGTATTACGAGGTGAGGAACAGGAACAGATCTGCCAGGCAGGTGATTGTGTCCCTTTGTCCTGAAGGTTGCAATTGTGGCCCAAGACTTAGCAGCGTTTCACAGTGCCTCCTCAGAAATGGGACACCAGCAGCACGGACACCATCTAGTGACTACAGAAACTAGACCTGTCACATTGTTGGCTACATCCAATGGGACACAAATTGCAGTACAGGTAAGATGGGGAAAATATTTTTTGGAGTGTTTCTTACTTCTAGAGCCAGAAGCTACCTAGTCAGATAACTAACAAAATGATTTGAATAAGCTTGGTTTCCCTGAAAAAAAATAGCCCACAACTATATGATCTCATATTTAAAATAGTATATAGGGTTTGGAAGAGGAATAAACAGCATCTGATTTTCCAAATCTACTTGTAGAACTCTGAAAAAAGGGGAAAGCTGGGGGAGGTCCAAACTTCAGGTCAACCAAATATTTAATGGACTCACAGGTTTTCAGTGAAAAAGTGCTTTTGTTCATCCTTTAGCTTTACATATAGGATTGACACATATAAAGCCAAACTCTCATGAATAAATTGCTATGAACTTATAAAATTAGCAAATTTGTTATTTGAACCTTGAAATGCTAATAGGAAAATAGTGCAAACAGTTACATAGAAAGATTGTAATAATCAGACATCTCTGGAAATAGTGACCTTCTGTTATGTGCCAAACCAGCACAGTACAAACAGTCTCTGTAAATAGTTCCTCACATTGTTCAAACATCGTCAGGGAAAGGTAATTTCTAGGTATGAAAGAGCTCTTAAGAGATCGGATTGAAAGGAATAGTATTAATATCCTCAAGCAGAAACAAGAGATTGTTATTTTACCCTTTATTAAATGGAAAGTAGCAAGTCAGAGGCTGTTGAAAGTTGAGAAGCTCTGAATTCTGAACTCCTCTCTTTTGAGTTGGCACTAACCAAAAGTGCCTGTAAGAGAAACCATGTCAGAAGGCAATTTTTTTGCATGAGAGCAAGAGGGAAGTTAACTTGTACCCTCAGCAGTGGGTTCTCTGAATGAAAGGAAAACAGGCACTCTGCACAAGCCCCTCTTCTGTTACCAGCAACAGAGCATTAACTTAAGTCTCTTTAAGTGTGTGCCAGACACACTTAAAATACACAAAGAGAAGAGAGATAATTCAAAATTAAAATGCTATTGATTATTCCTAAGGGTTTGATTGGTTTTCTTTTGTGCTTCAATACTAACAAATTAATCCATTTGGTATCTAAGTAGTGATAGCCCTATTGAAATCCTAACGAGGTGAAAACAGAGGTCTTGATTTGAGTGGATCCAGAATGTGATATGCAGTGACTGTAAAAATAACAAGCAATACTTAGAATTGTCCCATTAGGTCAAACAATTTGGTTTAACCTTTCACACTCTCATATATGTTTCTTCTGAGCCAATAGGTAATGGCCAGCTTTACTTTTTTTTTGTGAGGTTGAGGTTGTCTTCAGTGTTTCCATGAACATATTATAAAATTCCATGGATTCCTTCCCAAAATTGTGTCAAGTTGTGTTTATTCAGGGCTGGTTATCTTGCTTCTGGTAGTATCACATAATTTCCTCTCTAAACTAACTGTAGAATCAAACAGTGTCATCACAACAGCTTTTTCATGCAGGTGGGATTCTGCAATAAATGTACACTTCTATAAATTAATGTCATGTGGTGTTCCAAAAAGCTGACTTTCTGTTAAGAGAGTTAAGAAAAATGAAGATGTTTGTTTGCTTTACCAGTGATAAAATGAAATGCAACAGCCACTGGACTTCTGTGCCTTGTCTGAGCTTTGTATATCTGCCAAGTAAAATATCACCTACTTTGTGGGTCAGTGTGTTTACCACACAGCAGTTCTTTGAAGCACATGTATTTGGTGGTTACATAGAAACTCCGTGTAATCTCCTATCAGCAGCTGTCTTAATTGTCATGCTGATTAGATAGCTGCTGGTATATATTATCATCCAGGAGAGGTGTGACAATACTGATCACACTTATTTGTGTTGAATATTGTTTGGTATCTAGATCTTTGTTTTGAGATCTTTTTTTATGCATTTATTATCTAAGTGTAACATTTTGGATTTCTTTCTGTTTAAATGCATTTGTTTCAGCTTGGAGAACAACAGTCTCTGGAAGAAGCCATTAGAATAGCCTCCAGAATACAACAGGGGGAAACTCCAGGGATTGATGATTAACTTGTAAAACTGCTACCAGAACAATAGAGTGAAAGGTATTTTATTTTCAACCAACAAAGGTCCATGCCAGCAACAGCCCGTAAAAACTTTGAAGTCCCCCACTCACTGATACTGTGTACACATTTTATGCAAGAGTGAAGAACATTTTATAAGTTTTGTGTACATAACCCTTGGAATGGACTGACATCATCTACTTCCAACCGTTGCATTCAGGAATATGGAATTAGGATTTATATGGTAAACTTCCTTGTTATCCTTTCGTCAGATTTCAGACTGGTCTACAAGCAAGTAAAAAGCAGAAGTATTGGAATTAATTTTCAATGTCATGTACAAATAATGAAGGCATTACTGAAGATTTCTTCTGTTTAAATAACCATTTCAGGAACCCTTACAAGTAAAAAAGGCAACAAAGCCTTTTTAAATTGCATTCCATTAATGGAAAAGTCTTGGATTTTGAGCCTACTACTGTAAATCTTCGTATTTTGATTTGTTTCATACAGATTTGAATACTCTTAAGATGATCTACCCCATCTCATTCATTGTAAATACAGACTGTTAATGCTGGAAGTGCTAATTATATTATCTTTAAATTGGATTATGTACAAAGAACTGGTTGTTCAATATTAAAGAAAGTAAATCTAATGATTTTGTTTCTTTACATAATTTTACTTAAGATGTTACTTTCAAATTATTATGCAATAAAATATAGCAAGATTGTATTGTTTAGATAGGATGATATTGTCATGTGATATACTGTTTTACTTCTTACTGAGACTGAAGTTCAAATTATTTATTTACGGCCTTGTATAAATTTTTCCAAAGTTTATTTATCATAAACTTAATTTTTTGGCATTAATTTTGATTGTAATTCACTATAGTGTATTGAGGAAATACTAGTAATAGTTATTTCAGACGTTCTAAAACACTACAAGAGTGACTTTCTCTAAAAGGTGAAGTTACCCATTTTCAAGTGAACTATTTTCAAATGGTGCATTTGCAGCAAAAGTACAAGTACTAATAGTTGTTTTCAACAGTTCTGAGTGCCTGCTGCTATCAGTCAGTACCTAGGATGTGCTTGATAATCAGTGCTTTTGAAAATCAGGACACAAGTTACTAGAAAAAAAGGGATTAATGATGATGTATGTGCAATGCTCCTCTCCAACTATCATTTTGTAAAGGAAAAAATCCATTGCAGATATGTCTAACATATACAGCAAAATGTAACCTTCAATTTTTTTATATGAAGAAGTGTTTTTACTCTTGTCTTGTTAGCAAGCTGGTTAAGCAAGTTAAAAAAATTTGGCTTCCTGTAAGATTCTGTGCTTATTTTAGATTAGTGTCAAGAGCACTTCTGAAACTGAAGCCTCATCTTTTGCTTTCTCAAGGGAAGGATTGAACATCCTCTGGACAAAATCTTTATTAGGGAATCCCAAGTAGTGTGAGGTGCACATCCTATATGAAAAAATGAAGTCCATAACTAAGTACCTTGAGGTATTTGACCTCAGGAAGGCCAAGTTTGAATAGAATGAGCCGATTTATTGTGAATTACTGTATCAGTGTGGGTCGCAGCCTTTTATGTTTTCTACACAGACACCAGCTGTAAAGTGCAGTGAGAGAATACAGTACTGTGGGATAGATGGGGACAAAGCAAAGGCTATTTTCTGCATAAATGACAAAGTAAAACTTGGAAACATTTAGGTTGTCTGTAACTTCTGTATAGGATTGAGGTTGCTTGCTCACTTAGGTGCCAGTTTTCCTGAAATGTTGTAAATCTTGATATCCCATTGAGATAAATGTACTATGCAAGGAGGATTAATTGCCTGTCAACTAGATCAGTTTCTTAGTACTTACCACCTTTTAGAAATTAAACTTGTATCATTTGATGTGAATGTTCAAGGTTTTTTTTTCTTAAATTTCATTGCTAATAGTTTCTGGAAATGGTGGCTGAAATGGTGGCTTTGACTTACAAAAGGAATAACTTCAGTTCTTACTTCTCATTTCCCAGGACATTTCCTGACCACTGTACAAATGTGAGTATTCTTTCTCTTTCATACAAGTTGGTTTGCTGCAAGGTGTTCATTCACATACAGCTCAGTCAGGAAAACTGCAGTATTTTTAAAATTATTTCTGTGACTGTTATCAGTTACTCCTGCAAAACTGCCAAGTCAAAGGTGGTGCTTCCATGTTTTGCTAGCTAGCTCGACATAAATAATGTAGATGAGTTAGACTGGTTAGTGTTTAAAGAAAAGCTGATTGTGCGCCTTAGCTGCAAGGCCTGCCTTCATAACACACCTTGGTGATTTTTCCCTCCTGCTTCCATTCAGCCAGCTGTGGAAGGAGCTGTTTTGGTAGCTGATGCTGCATGTTGGCATTGAAACGTCCTGTAGTAGAGTTTAGACAGGACAGGATCAGGTTAGATAGATAGGAAAATTGGCAAAAAGGATTTCAGGAGGAGGAAGCAAGAATATGACAGGACTGGGTGCTTAGCAGTGGAAATCTCTATACTTTACCCACAGGTTCTACCCCTCTTTTGAAAATTGTCCCAAAGGGAATGCTTTGTCAGCTTGTAAAGAAGCAGCTTGTAAAAGATGAGCCCTGTAAAGTAAATCAGCTCAGTGTATCTCACTGCCTGTTACAGAGTGACTCCCACATGTCCAGTCACAATTTTTCTCTTGTATTTCAGTTGCGGGTCTATACCAATTCCCCCCATGAAGGAATAAGGCCAGAGTCTTTCCAGACCTTGCAGTCAAATTTTCCCTTTTAAGTATGTCTCCAGTTTTTCCCTAGGGTGGCCTTTGCTTTACTGTAGTTTAGTGCCTCTTCTGATAGTAAAGGAGGTGATTCTTTTCCGCGCTCCAGGCTGGTGACCTATTGTGCCAGACACACTCTGCATAACAACAGGATGGCTTTTGCCCTAAAAGGCTAATGGTTTTCATAAGAGTAAATCCTGCTGTAAACAGCCCTCATCCCTGCCGGTGTGACTAAGCCCAGCTCAGCTGACCGATACCGCAGACTTGGGTGTGAGACAGGCACGTGGTGTCTGCTCAGCACAAGGGCAGGACGGGCCCAGGGAGCTGATAAACAGCGGCTGAGCTGCGCAGGCCGCTCCCCCTGAGCTTCGCTCTGCTTCCTGACCCTCCTCACCCCTCAAACACTGCCCGCATTGTCCCACCGCCTGCGGGTTCTGCAGCAGAGAGACCTCCGAGCCTCGCTGTGCTCTGCCCAGGGACGACGGTGTGGAGTAAGGATCTGATCGAAAATGTTTTGCTGAATCTGGCAACTCCAGCTCTACAGCTGTTGAGATTTGTCAGACTCTACACCTTAAGCTGACCACGATGCAGAATTGCCCCATAACAAATCTTTTCGGTTCACTCTGAGTTTGTCATCGAATTAAAATAAATTTTCTGTGTTATTTCAAACAGCACAGGTGAAATTTCATTAATATCTGGGTAGCATGCAAACTGATTTTTTTAAGCAGTAACGTTTGAGAGACTGGAAATGACAGGTAACTTGTGTCCTGTTCAGCTATTAACTTAGAGTTGTTCAAAGCTTTAAAAAATCTATTTATTCAGCATGCATCATTTTTGTTTTGAAAAAATGGAAATTGCCTTGTCTTTGCAGATGCATACAATTAAACTCCAGCCCCTTGTTTATAAGAAGATACTCCTACTTTTTTATTTGCTAGGTATATATTTGAACACCATTTTCCCAAAAGTATCCTGTGTTCTATGGATAAAAACCTCCTAAAGCATAGACACCTATGACAACATCAAGAGCAGTTTTCAGTGTTTTTGTTGGAGGTAGTAAAGTGCACTCAGACCGAGGCAGAGAAGTAAGCATTTTTCTTTGTTGTGTTATGTGTACTGTAAAATGTCCCATCAGTTTGGCATTCCTTTGATTCTATTTTTCATTCTGCTGGTGGAGTTCACTTGGCCAGAGGAAAACAACAATCTCATTAGGCCATCACCATTAGCACTACGTTGTTGACACCTTACCCTATCAGGAACCAGGTGATAGCAGACTTTCTAACTGAGGGTTATATTCAAAGCAGACTTTAAATATCCCAATAAACATACAAGCTTCTGTCAATTATCCCAATAAACTTAGAAGCCTATATCAACAAATCAGCACTTGGTCCTACACAGTCTGTGTGTTTATCTCTGCTGGAAATATGACCCCCTTAAATCCAATCCATCTCAGGTTCTGAAACAATAAGAGACTTTCTTTAGGGTATTAGTGTTCTGTTTAATTATTTGCAGCATTTTGCTCAAAGGAATGACAAACCATTTACACTTTCAGGGCAAAAGTTACTGTGTGGAACTTTTCCTTTAAGTAAAAAGTGTCTTATGTGGTTGTCAAAACCCGCTGTGTTTTTACCCTTTCTTTTGTTAAATTCCCTCATCAGCCTTTAGGTTGATTGGCTGCTGCTTTTTACTTATTTTTCAAGAGACTTTTAGGCTCTCCGTCGTGTTACTGCTTCGTTCTGTAGGATTTGCTGAGAAGTTCCTGAACAGGCATCTTAATGAGGCAACACAAGGGAAAGAGGCTGACTTTCCAACACCTGGCAGGCCTGCTGGCACAACAGAAACTACCCACAAGCTTCTGGAGGTACAACAATGGTCCAAAGCTACATCTCCAGTGGGGTTTATTCCCTGGTGTAGGGCTAATTCAGATTTGAATATAGGTTGTGATGACTAAAAAATTAGAAAGTGCAAAAATGGTTTATAGAACAGATGAGATTAGCTGCTTTTTGGTTTTAAACATATATATTCAAGACAGTAAGAGACAGGTTTTTTAAAAATCTTTTTATCTGCACACCTAAAAATGTTTGTAAAATGTCTTGCCTTGAATGATGCCTATAAGAGCTTATTAGAAGAAGAGCAGTAGATTAAAAAAAAAAAAAAGATGCAGTACCTCTCTTATGGTTTTGCATGTTCCCTGAAGGAGAAAAACGAAACAGGTTAGTGATAGAGATAAATTAGTAGTGTACTGACTACTTCGTTTCTCTGCATTATCCATTGTGAGGTTTTTAATTGCTGGTACAAAATATTTCTATTTTGATAATTTTAACTTGGGCTCAACAGAGGAATGGGACATTCTAATTGTACCTGTTTCAGTCATGGCAATCATTCTGTCTCTTCCACTCTTCAGATGTTTTGGAGGAAATTTCTTACCTGAATATAACTCTCAGGAAGAGATTGTTTTGCCATTTCTTCCGAAGCAGATTTCAAGTGTTAAGAGGCAGACTTAAAAGCAAAAAAGGGAGTCACTAAAAACTATCATGAGTTTGTGCTCTCATTGTCATAGAGAATTACTGAATTGTATGTAACTGCTTCACACAACCTGTACTTTTTTAATGTACTTTGTACATTTTAACTTCTGAGTACCTTTGGATCTTCCCTGAAATTCCTAGATTTTGGATCCAGAAGCTGTTCTTTACTTTGTGGAAACTGTGGTGCTGTCAATTTCCCCTTTCTATTCTCTACTTTTTCTCTTGCTGTTAATATTTAGAGTTCCTGGGTGAATAATTCCCTGAGAAATGGTCTCTCTGCCTGCAGACTATAGACTAAAAAGAGAACAAGGACTGGCAGCATCAGCTATTGGCATGTCTTTGGATATACAAAGTCCATTTTTGATGGGAAACTCATTTAACTCTGGACCTTGTAGCTGAAGAGAAAGAGCTTGCCAGCTAACAGCAGCTGTAAGCAGCACAACCCCAGATAAAATAATCTTTAAACTGCTCACCTTTAGGCTGTCAGTAGCCTAGACACAACATCTCCCAGCTGGCACACTCCCACTGGGACCTGTTGTCCTTGTATATGTCAAGTCTTGTGTGAGCACTGGAATGCCGTTGCTGGCACTGGTGATAAGCACGCTGGTCCCTGGGTACCTGCTGAAGATAAAAGCTGGGAAAACAGCAAAGATCTCTCTGCTCTCAGTTTTCCACCAACAGCCTTGGCACAGGTGCCTGTAGTGTTGTTTTTCATAAAAGCAGCTTTACCTTCTTCCTCTTCTGCTTTTTCACTCCATTTACACCTCCCCTGATAAGGTGAATTATGCTGGCTGATGTAGAATGGGTTTCAGCCAGATTTTGGCAGAACTCTTCCAATTTGATGGAAGTGGTTTTGGAGGATTCCAGATGAGCTCGCAAATGCAGGAATCCTGACAAGATGGCAATGCCACTTCTCTGGCAGTTCTGACAGCCAGACAAATTGGCCATTGTTTGCTTTCTTCCCCATTTTTATTTGACTTCCCCTGCTACCCACAGAAGTTGGAAACAATGGTTTCCTTGGGCTTGAAAGCTCCTAGTTAAAAGCAGCTGTTTGCCTGTGAGTCTGTACTGCTCACAGATAGATAAATACTTCTAGTAGCAAAATCCTCAGTGCAGCTTAAAAACAAGTATTATAAGAAGGAAAAGAATCAATGTTGCAAATGTATATCCTGAAAACCGTTAAACCACTCAAATTTGTAGGAATATCAGTCAGGCACTGCCTAGACATCAGTTTGTGTGCTGTTACATCTATTGGAAGAATCAGGGCTTGAGTCTGCAAGATCTGTAGCAGTTCAAAAGTGCAATTTAATAAGTTTCAGAGAATTTGGGATGTTTTGGCTTAGAGAGTGTGGCACAGTGGAGGCCTGTAGAGCTCCTCCTCACTCAGCTTCTTCCTCCTGTGGTGATGTCCATTGCTCTCTGGGAGGGAATTGGCTCTGTGGGGCTCTTTAGCCAGGCTGCTCCTGGGGCTCCTCATGATTATTACAGGTGTCACAGAGGAGAGGGGAGCAGAGTTCCATTCTCAGTCTGGGCAAAAGTCATCTCTTCAACACAACTGTTCATGGTCCTGTCAGACTACAGCAAAAGAAAAACGGGTGCAAGTTCAGAGCA